TGACCAATTTTATTTGGGGGATTGTTGGCCTGGATACCGGGAGAGAGAAAAACTACTTTCTCTTTTCAAATATCGTGCCACTGGATCTTTAACAGGCAAACGGGACCTCAGTTTAAAGGCGGATCCGGAGGATGGCACCTCCGACAGTGCAGCAGTGTGCTGCAGTCTCAGAGTGGACTATCTGATTCCAAGTCCCGTTGTGTGGCTCGAACCCACAAACTACTGACTCGGAGACGAGAGCGTTACCACTGCGCCAGGCTGACGCACACTGCCGTGTGAGGAATGCGTGCTCTGCTCGAGCTGCTTGCATACATTATTGAATCTGAGAGGGTTCAGGGCAGATGCCCAGAAACCACACTTCCTGCAGCTCGCTGGCGTTTCCTTTGTCACTGAGCAGAACTTGCACAATTAAATGCGACTGTCACCACCTCGTTATAGATGTGAAGGTGCAACACGTTGTCTGGTGGAGTTACAGACAGTAACGCTGAATCCACTCCCTCTCTGTTGCTGCTCAGAGCAATGGTGCAAGTGACGGGTGAACGAGAGGAGTCAATTTGTTGCTCTTTAGGTTTCATGTTTTGAAAGCTTGTCTCTCCGATGGGCGGCGCTTCAAAATGAAGAATGAAACCCACAGAAACTTTTCCAGTGATGCCATGGGCACAGACTGGAACAGGATCCATATCTGTAGAATTGAAAGACTGTGGAAAGGGTGAGATGGCTGTCTTTCAGCAGCGACTGAGTGGAGACGTTTTAATCTTACTGAGATCTGTGGTGTCGCCTCGCAGAACGCTGCCATATATGGAAAACTGTGCAGAGCTGTCCTCGGTTACATCAGCTTTATGATGTTTGAAGTTTTTATCTTGTTTTAATGAGTTTCGCCCACAGTTCCCACAATCACTACACTTTATAGTAATTCCTTCGAACCGCTTTGAGACGTCCTCCCAACTTAAAAGGCGCTATATCAAACGTACGAATAAAAATGTAAGGATTATTTATCAGTAGATATAGTAGTTATACTGATCAACTAATGCATTGCTTTTTGTTCAGCTAACTGTTTCTTTGATAGTTTTAATGTGTGCTATGTGGGCCAGAACAGCACAGGTATTTTTGCTGCCTCGTAAACAGTGTCTCATTTTGTTCAGTCATTACTGAGGTCTTTGAAAGCTTGAAAAATAAAATTTTTTCCCCATTACCCCATACTCTAAACCAATAATCTTGTGTCCCAAGTGCACTTTCTCACACTTTACAATGTTAAACTCCATCTGCCATAGTTCCGCCCACTTGCCCCATCTCTTTGCATTTTCACCTGTGCATTTATAATCCTTAATAATCCTTGTGTTTGATATAAGGCCTTTCATGTCAGCAGGATGTCTCAAAGCGTTCAGAGGATTTACTGCAAAGTAATTGTATATTTTTAGGTGACCATGGAGGCCAATTTGTGCTGAGCAATATCCACAAACAGCCGTGAAGTGAGTGACCAGTTTTATCTGTGGGATTGTTGGCCAGGACACCAGGAGAAACTCCCTTCTCTAGTGGAATAGAGCCATGGGATCTTTAACATCCAGCACACAGGACCTTGTTTTTTGTGGAGTCCTGTTAGAGTAGTAGTTAAAGGGTTCGACCTGGGTTTGATTCCTGAGCAGAGCAAAATGTTAGGCAAGTTTCCTTTCTCCACACACCTCTGTTTACCCAGCAGTAAGTAGGAACCCCATTGTTAATCGATTGGTGTGTGTTTTTTTAAATAATAATAATTTTTTTAAGTAATAATTTGGTCACTCAATCCATGACTGTTTGTGGGACACTGCTGTGGGCAATTGGGTGCTGCGTTTTGCTGCTAAATATACAGTCTATTCTGTAAAGCGCTTTGAGATATCTCAAAGACATCTTCAAATTTTGTTTTGAAATCCCTTCATGCCCTCGCACCTCCCTACCTATCCGATTTGCTTACGCCCCATTCCACCACCCGCTGCCTCCGCTCGGTTGGCTCCGGCCTCCTGTTTGTCCCTCGCTCCCTCCACTCCACCATCGGCGGCAGTGCTTTCGGTCACTACGCCCTGAAGCTCTGGAACTCCCTCACTCAATTCCCCCACCTTGCCCCCTCCCTCCCGACTTTCAAATCCCACCCAAAGATCTTCCTCTTCGATGGTGCTTACGGTCACCTCCCCCTAGCTCTCCCCCGGCTCGGGGTCAGACCCCAAAACTGTCAAGCACTCCGGGACGCTACTGGGTGAAGGACACTATATAAATGCAAATTTTTGTTAGCTGATAAGGCGCTATATCAAATGCAAGGATTATTATTAACCAAAAGCAGCCTCTCCAATAATGCAGTATCACATTTAAGTGTTAGCCTGGACTGTGAATTAAAAGCCCAAATGTCGACTTCAACCTTCTAACAGTGTAGTGAGAATGCTACCGACTAAGCCAGGCTGACACCTCTTCACAATTTGCACCACTTCCTACTTCGGTGACATCCACAAACTTGGAAACTCTATTCCTGTTTCCAAGTCATTGATACCTTAGTGACAACCTGATACAGCGGAACTCCATTATATAGAGCGCGTCACTAGAATCTGGGTCTCCTATTGGATACTTGGAATATAGACTCCAATACTTATTTACTCCAAAATTTGAAAGATTCAAAACTTCAGCCGACATAGGAGAATCCACAATGGACGACCTTCCAGTCATCGGGTCCCTGCTGATGTGACATCGGCGGCGGTCCTGATGTTGGCCATTTTTGCAAGGTGTTGTTTTGAAGTCAGGCGAGTGGATGTGGAAACGTTGACTGGCAATCAGCCCCATTATATATATATCAATCTCATTCTGGGATTTTATGGATCCCAAATATCACATGACAACAGCTGCCATCCACCCAGTGAGGGCTCAAACCTGAACTTGTCAGATGTCAAATGACCAACTAATGACTATCCTCCTTGGAGGAGAGAGAAAGCGAGGATGGAGAGGACAGGATGGAGATTTTCAGGCCACTAGTTTCCCACTGTCTGCTTAAAGATGTCATCAGAAAATTGCAATGGAGTTGATGAATAAATCAATGATGTTGAATAAGCAGAGTTGTTAAGTCGGCAAAAACGTTTTCTGCCAAATTTTCTGCCTTTAGAAAACGAAGCAGTTAAAATGATGTCAGCCCGGCTCAGCTGGTAGCAATGTTACCGCTGGCTCAGAAAGCCTTCGTGTCTGAGCCCCACGTCGGGGACTTAATAGATAGCCGAGACCAGGGAGTTCTAACCTGTCAATCGATGCTGAGTGGCGTCTCACGCAGTCTCAATAAAATGCGCAGCAGTGATATTTACCGCAGTTTGAACGTTAAAGTTTATATTTTTCCAGATGCATGAAATACTTTGTGCATCTGGCTTTGGTTTTAATTTGGCTTAAATGATTATATGTTTCTCTCTCTCCTTCCTCCTGCTGTGTGGATCGTGCGCGACAGCACCATCTAGAGACGGTCGACCGTCTGACGCACAAGGATAGCGCTGGGGTTGTGCTGTGTTGTCAGGGGTGTCGTCCTTCAGATGAGATGCTAAACCTAGATCCCGCCTGCCCGTTCAGATCGAATGGCACTATTTAAAAAGAGAAGGGAGTTTCTCCCAGACAAAACTGATCATTGACTTCATATCTGTGTGGGGGACATTGCCGTACACAAATTGACTGCTGTGTTTGCATACAGATACATAGTCACTACACTTTACGAAGAAACTCTGTGAGGCACTTTCTCTATGCGATAAGACGCAATGTCAACTGGAAATATTATTGTTGTGTAGTAAAATTACTAACATCTGAAATGTTACAGGGATATAATACACACTGAAAAGATCTAGTCGTTATTCATAGAATGTATCTAAGACAGATTAAGGACTGATGGATGATGCACGATTTCAGCTGTGAGAATCTCTGCGTGAATGCACGGAGAGTTGGACATGTTCCCAGATCTATTCAGGAGGAAGTCTGTTTTATGACTGACGGCATATTCTTACAACTAGATTGCCTTTACAATTCACTTTTAGACCCGCTGGGTTATCGGCAAATGCCTTCCTTTCTCTAATGGTTTATCTGCAGGCTATTACCGGTCTCTAACCACACAAGTCTGAATTGCTGGTCTCTTTTCCCACAGTCAGGCTTCTGTACTTTGTGAGCACTCTTCTGAGAGATGGGACGTTCTCTCTCTCTCTCCCGGGGTCCTGGCTAACAGTAGATCCCCCCCCCCTCAAAAAAAATACACAGTCACTACACTACTCAGTAAAATCCTGTGAAGCATTTTGCGACTTCTCCTCAACATGATAAGTCGCTGTATCAAGTGCAAGGATTGTTATCCTGGCTTTCAGAGAGCCAACATGGGCTGAATGCCGGTTAATGTCCCGTCACAGTCACTTCTAAAGGTCACAGTAAACAACCCACAGGAGATCAAAGTACTCATTTTCTAATAGCATTGACAGTATTTCACACAATACCAGGGTACAGCTTCACTTAAGAATATTAGAATGATCAAGAGTTCAACCAAAACAGAGTGTATTTAAATGCCACATGTTAAAAGGCATTGCTTGTTCTCAACTTCCCCCTTCCTATTCCTACCAAAATATAACAACAACCCTTACTTTTGATATAGCAGCTTTCAAGTCGGGGGAATGTCTCAAAGCTGTTCACAGGATTTATTGTAAGCTCTGCTAGCTCCAGCCTCCTGCTTGTCCCTCGTCCCCTCTACTCCACCAACGGTAGCCATGCTTTCAACCACTATGGCCTGACCTGAAACCCTGGAACTCAATCCCTCCACCTTGCCCCCTCCATCTCCATTTTCAGATCACGCCTGAAGACCTTCTTCTTTGACCGTGCTTACGGTCACCTCCTACCTCCCCCACTGTTTTGCAGTGATGCCACTGTTTTGCACTCTGAGATGTTGCCTTGCATGAAGGGTATTACATCAATGCATGTTGTTGTTAATGGTCGTTGGATCTGAATGCCATTATTGCTTGTCACCATTCCCCCAGGTGGAATATCTGCTGAAGAAAGTCTGTACAGAAATGAACGTGGAGTGGAATGGAGGAGAACTCGATGACTACTTCTCACAGGTTCCCCAGCATCAGAGCGGAATCACAGTCTGGACCTTCCTGGAGTTGGTGAACTCAGGGAGATTTACCCGGGGGATTGAGAAAGAGACCATCACCATGGCGGTGGAGGAGGTCTATCAAGAAATCATTGAGGACGTCCTCAAACAGGTGATTACTTTGCAAATCATAAGTGTTGTTGCTCATCTCAATGCAGAACAGGGCAGGCAGGTCAGGGTTTTGTAACTACAGTAATATTCCTTGTACAACTGAGAAAGGGAAAGATGGTGGGCAAGTCTAGGTGGGTAATAGAACAACTTTAACAGCAAACAATCCCCCAAGGCTTAAACTGCTTCATCAGTGAGTGGTGGGCAAGCCAGGCTGAGGTTAGCTGAGTGCGTTTTGTGATGCAGGTCACGCTGTGTGGCAGTTGCAGTCAGGGGAGAGGTACAGATTTCTTTCCTATTTAGCAATATTTCATTTTTCAAACGGTTCCGAGGACTGAGCCAAGCAATACTTTGTCAAGTCAAACATAGTGTTTGTGAATGATGTACACGGGTTGTCTGTGGCCTTGCTGGTATACTCTGCATGGTTTCTGAGGGCATGGAGATTGTTGTTAGTTTACCAGTGTTGGTGGGCTATGAAGGGGAAGCCAAGGAGGGGTGGGGGCGGGATGGCAAATTGAGTTTGAGGGCAAATCCAGTGTTGTCTTCACCAGGGATTGGATCAGTTGGGATAACCCAGGGTATTTAGTCAGTGAGTGAGCCCAGAAATGAGGTACAATTTGCCCTTGGATGTTTCAAAGCAATGGTGTCTGTGATCAACCCACCCTAAATGTGTTCACTAAATCATAAGATCGGTCCGGATGAAGGAAGCCCTTCAATTGATCTCATCCTTCCAGAGTACCCACCGTACCGTCTTCCCATCACAGCTTCAAGCTGTTTCTTGAATGAATCAACGATCCTTTCTGGTACATTGTTCTGTTTGTTAATTACCCTCCGAGTAAACAACAGCAACAACTTGTATTTATATAGCGTCCTTTACACAGGGTAGCATCTCAGAGTGCTTAAAGCCTGATGCCGAGGCAGGGCAAGATAGGAGGTGACAGTAAGCACAATCAAAGAGGAAGGTCTTCAGGCATGATCTAAAAATGGGGAAGGAGGGGGCAAGGCGGAGGGATTGAGGGAGAGAGGTCTAAAGTTTTGGGGAGTATGTAATCGCTGAAAGCCACACTTTTTGGTGCCTGCCCTGAATCTACGCCCCTCTGATCCGCTGCACTGACACATAGGAAAGCGTACCTTACTCCAAACACAGCCGAAACCCTCGTCCACTCTTCGACCGTGTTTACCGTCACCTCCCCCCTCCCCACACCTCCATGTCAGGCCCCACCAATGTTAAGGGCTGCCCCACGTGGAAGGGCACTATATAAATGCAAGTTGTTGTTGAAGTGCTGATGTGTGATGCTCTTCTCTGCCAGGGATACCTGTGGAAAAAGGGACAGTTGAGAAGGAACTGGACCGAGCGTTGGTTCATCCTCAAACCCAATCTCATCTCCTACTACGCCAGCGAGGACCGGAAGGAGAAGAAAGGCAGCATCTCACTGGACAGGAACTGCTGTGTTGAGGTGCGTACGCACACCGGAGCCGGCAAGGAATTCAATCTGCTTTGACGGCGGCCAAGTGTTGGGAGATTTGTTCATGGGAAACATGTCAAATTTTTAAATACCTCATTTTACCACTCTTTCAGTCATCTTCCCCCCACACCAACGCCCTCGGCTCCCACCACCAGTTCAGGTGCCCAGCCAGCACTGTGGACTTCCCAACACATAAGTGTAAATTTGTATTGTACGGTAATGTTTCTTTGCAAGTTGTCATTCTGCCTGACGATTGCCATACCGTGAACAACTCCACAGCTGTGGAGGACAGATAGTAGTAAAGCACCACCCACACATTGATTCTAACGTTATAATTTGATTATAGTATAAATTATATTTTATAACTCTGACAGCATTGCAAGCATCGCACCAAATACAAGGATTGATTATATTTTAATATCATTTTTCCCTCAGGTTCTGTCAGACCGAGATGGAAAGAGGTGCATGTTCTGTGTGAAGACCATTAACAGGACGTATGAGATGAGCGCGTCAGACACAAAGCAGCGGCAGGAGTGGACGACGGGTAAGGAACCTGAGTTAGAGGTGAACAGTGAGGAAGAGAATGTGACAGATAATAATAATAATTCTTGCATGTGATATAGCGCCTGATTACGTCGTCGAGACGACTCAAAGCACTTCACAGAATATACTGTAAAGTGAATTGACTGTATATTTTATGGGTGAAACGCGGCAGCCAATTGCGCACAACCAGATGGGTATAGATAGATATCTCTTGACCCTCTGTCTCACACCCCACCCCTCTCCATTTTTAAATCCCACCTAAAAAGCTACGCCTTCGACTGAACCCAGTGTGAGACCTTCCCTGCTGCGCCATTGCTCACTCTGCATCTGACACAATCTCTGTCTAACGCTTTGATCTTATCCCATGTGAAGGGAGCTGTATAATTGCAAGGTGCTGGATTCATCAAAAAATTTACTGGTAGGGAAAACCTTTACCAAGTTTCTTTGTAAAAGACCCTTCAAAAAAAACAAGTTTGAAAAAAAATAATTTGAACATGACTGTTCGTGGGACGCTGCTGTGTGCAATTTCCTGCCGCGTTTCGCCCACAAAATATTCAGTCAATTCACTTCACAGTGTATTCTGTGATGCACTTTGTGACGTCTCAAAGATGTGATAAGGTGCTATATTAAATGCAAGGATACAGGATCACAATGATGTGGATGAAACCTTTAAACCAGCCGTGGACCTGTTTTATACTGCAATACATAGCAGTTACTTGCTCTCGTATAATGTTTTCAGTTTGTCTCGCTGCCTTTCTTTATTTCTGTTATATAATGGAGTCCTGTAGCTCAGTGGTTAGAGCACTCGCCTCGCAAACGAGAGGTCTGGGTTCAATTCCAGGCAGGGTGAAATGTTGGGCAAGTTTCCTTCCTCCACCCTCCTCTGTTTACCCAGCAGTAACTAGGAACCCGGATGTTAGTTGATTGGCGGATTGCTTTTCCGGGTATAATAATTCCTTAAAAAAAAGTAATAAATTGGTCACTTCAATCCACGACTGTTTGTGGGACACTGCTGTGTGCAATTGGCTGCCGTGTTTCGCCCCAAAATATTCAGTCAATTTACTTTACAGTATATTCTGTGAAGCGCTTTGAGACGTCTAGAAGACGTGATAGGGCGCTATGTCAAATGCAAGGATTATTATTATTATAATATATGGCACGACCTGGGCCGATCACCGCACACGTTCCCACTCTCTCTGCTCCTGCTCCCAGCTATCCAGACAGCAATCCGCTTGCAGGCGGAGGGTAAGCAATCGCTGCACAAGGACCTGAAGCAGAAACGCCGGGAGCAGCGGGAGCTGAGGGACAAGAGGAAAGCCGCCAAGGAGGAGGAGCTCCAGAGGCTCAAACAGTTGCAGGAGGAGAAAGAGCGCAAACTGCAGGAGCTGGAGCTGCTGAAAGAGGTGAGAGATCATCAGCGTCAAACATTGGGGTCCCAAGCTCCATCTCCATCACAGTCTGGTCAGTCCGGGCCGCCCACAGTATTGTGTATGGCCGGAGCCCAGCTTTCCAGGGTACAGGATCACAATGATGTGGATGAAACCTTTAAACCAGCCGTGGACCTGTTTTATACTGCAATAAATAGCAGTCACTTGCTCTCGCATAATCTTTTCAGTTTGTCTCACTACCTTTCTTTGTCCCTTTCTCTCCTCTGTTCCCTTTCGTTATACTTACCCCATCTCATTATCTCTGGTTTTGTCTCTCATTACTCTTTCGCCGTGATTTGTTCCTACTCTGTCTTCCATTCCCTCTTTCCCATCTCACCCTTCCTTCATATTCTCTCTTCCATCTTTCACATTCTGTTTATCTCTTACTGTTCCTGGTATCTTCCGACACGCACTCTGCCTCTCACCTCTCTTAGAATCATAGAATCTTACAGCACAGAAGGAAGCTATTCGCCCACTGTGCCTGTGCCGGCTCTTTGAAAGAGCTACCAACCAGTCCCGCTCCCCCATACTTACCCCATAACCCTGCAATTTTTTTCCTTTTTAAGCGCCTATCCAATTCCTTTTTGAAAGCTTCTATCGAATCTGCTTCCACAACCCTTTCAGACAGCGAATTCCAGACCGTAATAACTCTCCCCTCATCTCCCCTCTGGTTCCTTTGTCAATTATCTTAAATCTGCATCCTCTGATTGCCGACCCACTTGCCAGAGGAAACAGTTTCTCCCTATCTACTCTATCAAAACCCCTCATAATTTTGAACACCTCTATTAAATCTCCTCTCAACCTTCTCTGGGGATACAGTAAAATACCATAGTGTTACCGCAATCACTGTGTTCAGCAGAATTGTTAACCAAAACATCCAATTTTATTAGAAATTTAAACCTGTTTACAGTAACCTGTTGATCAACTAAAATGGGCGTGTGGAATGTGTTGGTTGATTTTGAACTTCTAATTTGACTGTGATTGGCCAAGAATGACTTGATAAATGAATCGTGTAAGTTTAACTGTCGCCTGTTGTTAACGTGAGGCCATGAAAGTCAAGAATGTGAGCCTCTGACAGTAAGGGCTGTTTCCCCGCTCTCTCTTTCTAGGCCCAGCGCCAGGCAGAAACCCTCCTGAAGGAAGAGGAGCAGAGGAGGAAACAGCAGCATGAGGAGATGCAGAGTGCACTGGAGATCCAGCTCCAACTGGCTGAGCAGGTCAGAGGGCGAGCATTAATAATAATAATAATGATAGTAATAATCATACTATAGGCATCCATGCACCTGGGACTGTTAATAAGACTATTCAGAAATGGCTTGACAAAATACCCGGTGAACAAAATATCAACCTCCTGCAAAAAGTAGCTGTTTTAGTAAGCTCAAACCTACTAAGAGTAACATCCATTCATATGTGGGTGACCAATTTTATTTGGGGGATTTTTGGCCAGGATATCATGAGAGAGAAACTCGCTTCACTTTTTGAGTAGTACCATGGGAACTTTAACGACCACTTGAACTGAGAGACAGAACCTCCATTTAACATCTCATCCGAAGGACGACATTCTCCAACAACATAGCATTTCCTCAGAACTGCATTGGAGTGTCAGCTTAGACTATGTGATTCCAACTCCCAACCTGGAACTTGAACCCACAACCTTGTGACTCAGAGGCAAGAGCCCTACCACTGGAGCCGGAGGAACGGAGGGTACGGGCAGGTAGGTAGGGGGATAGTAGTTTGGAGAGGTAGGAGGGAGCGAGGCCGTGAATGGCCTTGTAGGTGAGGATGAGGATCTTGAAATCAATCCTCTGGGGGATGGGGAACCAGTGGAGGCGAGCGAGAGTGGGAGTGATGTGGTCAAAAAATCTCAACGCAAAAGGGGCTGGATCAACTGTAAGGATTATTATTATTAAATCTACTTCACAGTGAAACAGATTGAATCTTTATAGGGGAGGAATCTTTGCTTCTGCTTTTCTCCCCATTCAGATTTGGGTGTTTCTAGTTCCCCAAATCTTACTGTTTGATTCTTCGAATCTCATTTGCTTTATATGGGGAACAAGTCATGGTGGTTTTTCTGGCGTCTGCACTTCTGCACTGTGACCTGGTCGCTGGTCTCTCATCAACACAATGTGACTGTTGTGTGGGAGGAGTGGTGGAGTCTTGCTGGCTGGTCTGGCTCTCTGCGTTCTCTTTTTGGTTTGCAGTCTTCCCTTTGCTTTCTCTTACTATCGCGGGGGAGGTGGTGGTGGTGGTGGAGGTGGAGAAAGTATTTATATAGTAATAATAACAGTAATAATAATTCAATATAGCCCTTAATCTGTCATTGAACCATCTCAAAGCACTTCACAGGATTTACTGTAAAGTGTATTGGCTGTGTATTTTGTGGGCAAAACGGGGCCTCCAGAATGTCGCAAAGCGTTTCACAGGGAATTACTATAAAGTGCAGTGAGTATTTGTTTGTAGGCAGACAATGTCGGCCAATCTGCCCACAGCAAGATCCCACAAACAGCCGTGGAGCGAGTGATCAATTTTATTTGGGGGATTGTTGGTCAGGACACCAAATAGTTACAAGGGATCTTTAACATTCACATGAACAGGCACAGAGGGGAAATCGCTGCCTGTTTGGATGGATGTTAAAGATCCCATGGAGGTATTTGAAAACTGAAGTTTCTTAGGATCTTGGTTTAACATCTCAACTGAAGGATCCCATCTCTTACAGTTCCGAAACTGTGAGCCTAAAGTCCTGACGTGGCAGCTTGAACCCACAACCGTCTGACCCAGAGAGCAGAGTGCTAGTGACTGGGCCAGGCTGACACCAGTGGTCACTAGTTGGCCCTGTGTGTGAAGGCACCTGATAACTAAGCTGTCTGTCCCTCCAGGCCCGGGCCAGTATGCAGGCAGAAATGGTTCTGAAGGAGGCCGAGGCCGACCGTCAGAAAAAGCGGATCCGGGAGCTGGAGGACATGCAGAAACTCCTGGAGGAGGCGCTGACAGTGGAGGTCACGGCTCGTCAGGAGGAAGAGGCCAAGCGATACGCACAGACCAGGTACCGAGAGATCACACCTGCCTGATGTCTTGTTAGAAAGGAGAGTGAGCCGGGGGTCATTGTGGTCACTAAGTGAACAAGGTGACCACAGATGCAGAGAAAACAAAGAAAAGGTTGCGAAATAATAGTGATTCCTGGCTTTGAAGGAGAACATCATGTGTAAAACCTCCACCTATGATTAACGTGAGATCGGTTCCTCTACACTGTGGAGGCTCCCATCCTTCAGCTCAGACATAACAAAGCCTTTCATTAACAACTGGGCTTCATGGCAAGTCCTGCCCGGTATTTGAAGCACTCTGGGAATGTTGCTGTTAAAAGAAAGAGAATGTGAGCAGCAACGCTCAGTAAAGATAATCTGGGCATAGTTTGTTCAGAACAAAACTGAGTTCTGTGCTAAGGTCAGGGATAAATTCAAATACTACTTATGGTTTAATATCCATAAGCGAAGGGTTACCTCTATAGTGTCATAAATCATTGAACAGAATTATTACTGACTGAGGAAACCAATGATGCTGACATATCTGTAAATGATTAAGCATCACACAAAATCAGTCTAGAGGAAAAAGGCCTTTCAGCCCACCTGGTCTCATCCCTCCAGAAGACCCAACTAGAATGAGAATTGAATCGATTGTCTTTGTGGCTCAGGGTATAGTCATTGCTTACTATGTAGGAAATAGACCAGTAAGCTCCCTGGTTTGATGTGGTCTATGCTGATCTCAGCCACGGTGGCAGTGAGAAAGTCATTGGCCTGAGAGTGTGGTTTCCCGTCCACAATCCTGATCAGTCCCCAGCGTTGGGTGAGGTCAGGTCAGGCCAGGCCTTGCAGGCTGACCTGTGATCACTCTGTGTGATTTGGGGAGGGGTTGTGGAAACATACCCATTGCGAGTCATCACTTTCAGGAGGGAAGGGGAGAAGGTTGGGAGTGTTCTGTGTCAAGTGATGAGCAGTTTCTGAGAAGCTGGATTTACTGTGCTGTTTATTGCAGAGACTTGGTGATATGTTTTGACAATTACAAGAGCCGGTGTGTCTTGTGACATTGCGTGGCTGTGTTTCCTTTCTCTGCCCCCACTCTGGTCCCACTCTCTTTCTGCCCCTGCTCTAGCCTCCTTATGTTGTGTTAGACTATCTGGTCAATCAGGAGCTGGTCTCCTGAATAACTATAGGCTTTGATGGTGGTGTTGTTGTGTGCTGTGAAAAGTGATGTCCTCCCAACGTGAAAGGCACTATACAAATGTAATTTTGTTGTTGTTGTTTCTGTTTGGCGGCCAGGTGGAGAGGTCAGGCTCGTCTGTATCGCCCTCTAAGGTCGAGTGGCTCTGCCAATACTCACTGCTCAGGCTCACATGTGAACAATGATATCGCGTCTTATCATGTCGTAAAGACGTCTCAAAGAGCTTCACAGAATATACTATAAAGTGAATTGACTGTATATTTTGTGGGTAAACTCAGCAGCCAATTGCGCACAGCAATGTCCCACAAACAGTCGTGGATTGAGTGACCAAATTATTTTTAAAAAAATTTAAGGGATTATTACCCCCAGAAAGCAATCCGCCAATTGACTTAACAACCAGGATCCTACTTACAAATAGTTAAACAGAGGCATATGGAGTAGGGAAACTTACCTGAGGTTTCACTCTGCCTGGGAATCGAACTTGCGAGGCAATTATTCTGACCATCGTTGGGTGCTGGAGAGCCACCAGAGGCCATGGACCTACACCCCAGTGAGAGAAGGCCAGGGTGTGGGCAGAGACGAGGCCGGGGCCTGGGCAGAGACGAGGCCGGGGCCTGGGCAGAGACGAGGCCGGGGCCTGGGCAGAGACGAGGCCGGGGCCTGGGCAGAGACGAGGCCGGGGCCTGGGCAGAGGGAACATTTAGAAAAATAATTGGACACATTAAATTTTAGTTTTTTAAAAAAAGAGATCGACCAAAAATATCCCTGACATTTTGTTACCCGTTAAATGACAATAGAGCAGGGAATTTCCAGGGAACTCTGTTCACTGATACATCTGTGTTATGTGTGACTCTGCCCTGTGTGTCAGGTTACTGGCTGAGGAGGAGGAGAGGCTCAAACAGCTGATGTTGCTGAAGGAAGAACAGGAGGATCTGATCATAAAAACCCAGCGAGAAAAGCAGGAGCTGAGAGAAGAGATGCAAACCAAGTCTGTAAAACTGGATGAGGCTCAGAAACATCTGGAGGAAGTGCGGGTCAACAGGCAGCGAGCAGACCAGGATGTAATGGTGAGTGTGTGTACAAAGGCGCACATTAGCTATTTACAGTCATGGCACTGAGACTTAATATATATAATGTAATAATATATAATGCATAACAATAATCCTGGCAATTGATATAGCTGATGTTGCTGAAGGACTAACGGAGCAGCTGATGGTAAAAAACAATTTTTATCATATTATTGAGACGTCTCAAAGCGTTTCACAGAATATACTGTATATAGCGTTTCACAGAATATACTGTATACTGTAAACACATAGTCCAAATAGATTGGACTATGTGTTTTGGGGGTGAAATCATCTTCTTGTGACCTGGACGTTACATTGAGTGAATTACAAGATGTGTGTCTCACGGTGTGTAGACCAGCCCAGTGCTCCATCCCGTTAGAGAGCAGAGCTTATGGTTACATGGGAATGAGGTCTGTAGGAGCGAGCTGTTGCAACCGAGCAGAGCTGTAGGCGTGTGAATTGGACGGGAGGGTTTCTGATTGGGAGATCTTTGGGGACTTCCATCCCCCAATCACTCCGACTCGCCCTTTCCTTAGCCTCCTTCAAGTCCCGCCTCAAGACCCTCCTCTTTGACTATGCCATCGGCCACCCCCCTTCCCCTCCCTTCTCCCCCTGACCCCAGCTCGGGTCTGAAATGCTGTACACTGTCCAGTGCCTTGGGACGTCCTCCCGACGTGAAAGGCGCTATACAAATGTAATCTTGTTGTTCTCTCTCAAAATTTCTGGGATAGAAATGTACACAATTTTTATGAAATCATGATAGAATGGGGCATAATAACGTAATATGTAACTTTTGACTCGATTTATTTGGACGGAAGAGGGAGAAATCTGAAAAGTGTGTGTGTGTGACCTCTAGCAAAATTATAATCAGAGATTCTTTGAAAATGAAAGGCAAAATACTGCAGATGCTTGAAATCTGAAATAAAAACAGAAGTCCCTGGGAACACTCAGCAGGTCAGGCAGCATCTATGGAGAGAGGAAAGTGGATTAAAGTTTCAGGTCGATGACCTTTCGTTCTGACAGTCGAATTGCTAAATTGTTTGGAGGAAATAAGTGAAACAGTGGGTGAAAGCTAACACGTGAATATCATTTGCTTGGAAGCCATTTAATTAAATTCCAAGCAGGAGACTTTCAAAGAAGGTTTTAAAATTCATTTAATTAATATAATTAAAATTCACGGCAAATTAACCAGATTGATTGAAAATAATCCCTGCATTTGGATCAAGTAGGAAGGACATCTCAAAGCACTTCACAAGAATTAACATGAAATTAAATGACTGTGTATTTGTTGGCAAATGTGACAGCAGTCGCACAAGAGGCCATGAACGAGTGATCAATTTTTTATTCGGGGTTTGTTGGCCAGGACACTGTGAGAAAGAAACTCCCTCCTCTTTTATAATAGTGTCATGGGATCTTTAACAGTACAACACACCCCCAGCACTGCACTGGAAGGGGTGCCACCTTAGACTATGTGAACTCAAGTCCCGACGTGGGGCTTGAACTCACAAACTTCTGACTCGGAGGCAGGAGCACCACCACTGGCTGACACACAATTGCTAAGTCCAATTATATTTATCCAAGCAGTCTCCCTGCTGATCAGCTAACTCAACACAGAGAGGAAATCAAACAGGGTATGGGCACGAGGTCAACCTGGGCCGCTGCTCCTTCCTGAGGCCTGGTACATACTGACATCTGCAAAAAAGCTGGATTTAAAACCTTAAAAGCTTTTGGATGCATTTATTTTCACCAGGAAGAATAGCAAATGAACTGTGTTTTGGATTTTCCGCAAGGAACAGTTTGTGTTTCATGAATATAACTGCAAAGCATTATTTTCCTTTGTTTGATGGAATGATCTTGTATTCTTGCTTTGTTTTAATACATTATAGTACAGCATAATAGCCATGTCTAGGTCACTGTTCGAAGCTAACCTCCTCAAACTAAAGTATTTCTTTAATGAGGTTTTTAAAAAAAGTATAGGCGAGAGAGCAGGGGATGGGATTAGAATAGAGAGCTCTAGTAGGGAGCAAGCACTGCCACAATGGATGCCCCTCACTGCTGACATTTATTTGAACTGAGCCTCCAGATTAATTGCTGAGAGCAAGGGGCAGTCATAATAATTTATCTTTTAAAATAAATAATTATTCAGCCTGTGTACGTGTAACAACGTAGAGTGAGCTTCTCGAACCTTCTGTATCTATGATGGGTTTTTACGCTGTCCTGTTGGGTCTAAGATCTCCGAGACGCTACCTCGCGTGAAGGTGCTATATAAATGCACGGTTGTTGTCGTTGTTGTTGGTTGTGAGTGCGGTGATTGGCTGACATGTTGCCTTTCTCACACACAGGTGGCCCAGCGGAAGCTCCTGCAGGCCAGCTCCCACGTCAAACACTGGAACGTACAAATGAACCGACTGATGCATCCCATAGGACCAGGAGGTAACCAGTGGTGATTGATTATTTGACTGGTAATCCCTGACTGTCCAGCTCCTTGGGGTATCCTCCCGACGTGAAAGGCACTGTACACATGTAATTTGTTGTTGCTGTTGTTGGCAACCAGCAGTGATTGGATATTTGGGATTTAAAAAAAAATCTTGCAGTTGTTTAAAAAATGACGGCCAAAGTCTGACCTCAGTATATTCTTAAGTTTGAATCTGATCACGGTTCTCATGCTTATACTTGATGCAGTGCCTTATCATGTCATTGTCTCAAAGATTATCACACACAGTGACTGAAGTGTGGTAGCTGTTCTTATCACAAGGTTAACACAATGAAGAAGACTCTTCAGTCCACTTGATGATCTTTCCATTATACCCAGGTCACCGTCCTCGCTTAAGAGCATCAAACTGCTTTTATGTTAGTCCTGACCTCAATCTCCAGGCACAGACAGCAGCTAATCTACACAGCTAACACTCCACAAGCCACAGTGAGATGAATGACAAATTATTGCTGTACACAGCTATGTACATCAAGAGGTGTAATGTACAATCACAGCTGGTACTTTGTCTGATGGATAACAGCACTTGCTTCATCCTCCTAGATACCTGAGACCAGCAGCAATCCTGAATACAGCACAGTTCTGTTATACTATACTTCTGATTAGCGCAGATTCACTTTTCACACGATTGCACTGTGGACCCCATTCACTGCACTCGCACACAGCCCTCCCATGCCCTGGCTGGCGTTTTGCACCAAAGTGGCCAATTTCCAGGTCAATGAGTCGCTATAAACATCACTTTCTGCTTTACTGCACGTGTGCAAACCAAAATGTGATATCGGCAGCAACCTGATGACCCAGAAGTGGGCCATTTGCTACAGCACCTTTCATGTCAGGTCGACGTCTCAAAGCGTTTCACAGGATATAATGTGAAGTGGAATGACTGTGTGATTTCTAGGAGTTAAAAGACCGATTTACAGAGCGTCACTTTTTGCCAACATCACTTTCCTGTGTTGTGCGCACACAGTAAAACAGGAAGTGATGTTGGTGATGACCTAACTGTCTTGAGCATGTACAGTGACGCGGGCTATCAAACCCTATCTGATCTCGACACGTCCTGTGGAGTCCTGTAGCTCAGTAGTTAGAGCACTTGATTTGCAAGCGAGAGATCTGGTTTGATTCCTGGCAGGGCGAAACCTTGGGCAAGTTTCCTTACTCCACACGCCTGATAATATTGACTGAAGTCGCTGTGTTCTTCAGTGGTCACTGGTCTATCATCAGTGGGAGGTCATCAACCTCAGCACCGAAACCAGAAAACAAAATACAGTATTGTCGCCGGAGGCTCTGCGGCAAAGCTAAGGGGATAATAATTTTAATAATTATAATAATTTGATCACTTCAATCCACGACTGTTTGTGGGATACTGCTGCGCGCAATTGGCTGCCATGTTTCACCCACATAACATGCAGTCAATTCACTTTACAGCATATTCCGTGAAGTGCTTTGAGACGTCAAGAAGACGTGAAAAGCGCTATATCAAATGCAAGGATTATTATTATTATTATCCTCTCAAATATCAAACCACCAGCATACAGTGTTGCCCTATTATACACCCCGCCCCCCCACCCAACCTGCACCCCTGTGAATGGCTGATTGCAGATCAGAATGTTATGCTATATTCTCCTCTCCTTACTGAATTCGTTGAGCACTTGGAGGGTCACTGTTGTATCGTGTATTGAAACTGTGATTTAGCTGCAGAAGTCCCACACGAGAGAAAATTGTGTTTCTAAACAGTAATAATCTTTACACTTGCTACAGCACCTTTCGCATCGGGAGAACGTCTCAAAGCACTTCACAGGATACACTGTGAGGTGGAGTGACTGTGTGATTTGTAGACATGTCCATTTATCTACATTGACAACGATCATTCATCACAAGCGCATTGTCCCCTGACCTCAAAGTGAATTAAAAAAAACTTCTCCGTTTAATTTTAATTAGTTTTGATGAAACAATATTGACTGGAGTTTTCAGAGCTCAGGGGGTGAAGAATCACCCTCTCTCCCCTGACCTTAAAAACGTTGTTATTGATCCATTGCTCATGAACTCCAAAATATACTTTGGAGATTTATTGATTTACATAAAACAGTGAGTGGATTACTGAGCGTGAAGAATGGGGACTCAGAGGCTCTGCCTATTAGATGTGCTCTTCTGTGATGGATTTCACTTGACTTGTTTGTGGTCTGGCTGGACAGTAGATAGGTTACCAGTTTCCTGTAATCACTCGCATGCTTGTGATCACAGTATCCTGTACTACCAATGTAGAAGTAAACACCCGACTACAGACTGAAGAGTTTCTGAGTCACTCCCTGCGTTCCCTTCCCTTTTTCTGTTGTAATTACCAGTTTACAAAATCACAAGAGGTTTGGATGCAGTTGACCCTTTGGCCCATCTGATTTCATTCACAACACATGAGTGAGGTTGATAGATTTTGGTAGGTCAGGGTATTAAGGGATATGGGGAGAAAGTGGGAAATCGGAATTGAAAGGATTAGTTGAGGTACAGATCAGCCATGATCTGATTAAATGGCGGAACAGGCTCAAAGGGCTGAATGGCCTCCTCCTGTTCCTATGTTCATTCCCACCCACCATCTCCCTTTACAGCATCAAGCTGTTTTTCAAAGATTCCCAGTGCCCCGTCCTCAACACCCTTCCTACCAATCCTGTTCCATTCATGAATTACTTCCTGGGTAAATAAATACTTCTGGTGTCACCTCACAAAGCCCTCCACAGACTTGCTCCTCCCTACCTCTGTGACCTCCTAACCCCCAATAACCTGTCTGCTCCCTCCGGAGCCCGCTGAGCGAGGAAGCTGGTAGGTGGTTAGTAGGTCGCAGAGATAGGGGGGAGCAAAGCCATAGAAGGCTTTGAAGGGGAGGATCAGGATCTGATCCTTCCCATCTGTGTGATGGGAAGCCAATGGAGTCGGGTGAGGATGGGTCACGGAGCCTGGTGCGGGAGAGGACACTGGCTGCAGAACTCTGGATGATCTGCAACCTGTGGATGGAGAAGTTGGAGAGGCCGACAAGTAGGGAGTTTGCATAGTCAAGCCTGGATGTTATGAATACATGGATGAGGGATAATTGTGATAATAATAATAATAATCCTTGCATTTGATATAGCGCTTTTCACGTCGGGAGGACGTCCCAAAGCACTTCACAGAACACACTGTAAAGTGAATTGACTGTATATTTGTGGGCGAACGCGGCAGCCAATTGCGCACAACAATGTCCCACAAACAGTCATAGATTGAAAATGACCAATTTATTATTGTTTTTGGTTTTGGAGGGATTATTATTAGGCTCTGTGTGGAGTAAGGAAACTTGCCCAAGGTTTCGCCCTCTGCCTGGAATTGAACTCAGGTCTCTCGCTTGCAAAGCGAGTGCTCTAACCACTGAGCTACAGGACTCCACATGTTAGTAAGGGCAGCACTATGACAAGCAAGTGACAGGTGTGCTCTCCAAACAACAAAGAAGCAATTGTTCTTTCCTGAACCAGTTCTGCGAATGTAACGTGTGATTTCTCATGTCAATACCTTCCATTTTTAGCTACAGATGTATCATCCACAGTAATATGACAAAGAATGCAATTTTTTATTTCAGATGACACATCTGTTTACCTAGCAGTAAGTAGGAACCTGGTTGTTAGTCAATTGGCAGATCCACAGGGTAATAATCCCTTGAAAAAGAATAATAATAATAATTTGATCACTCAGTCCATGACTGTTTGTGGGACACTGCTGTATGAAATTGGCTGCCGCGTTTTGCCCACAAAATATAGAGTCAATTCACTTTACAGTATGTTCTGTGAAGCGCTTTGAGACGTCTCGAAGATCTGATAAGGCGCTTCATCAAATGGATGGATTACTACTATTATTAATATCCCAAAAGCTGGCTTCAATCTAGAGAGTAACATTGCCCGGAATTTGTTTTATTTATTTTATTATTATTTTTATAGATTTTTTTCTTCAGGTCAACTTTCTCTTTTTTCCCCCCCACCTGCCAACTTTGCTATTCGGGGAGAGGAGGGTGGGGGAACAGCTCTTTCTCTCCCCCGTCACAGTTGGTTAACAACAACAAATTACATTAACACAGGGGTACGTCCCAAGGCGCCAGACAGTGAAGGGTTTGCACCCAAGCTGGCTCAAGAGGGGTGGCGGCTTGGGGTAGAAGAGGGAAAATCACCGCAAGCACAGTCAAAGAGGAAGGAGGCAAGTGTGAGGTGGAGGGGCTCCGTGATAGACTTCCAGAGGGTGGGGGCAGAAAGGCTGAAGGAGTTTCACATAGGTCAAAGCACTCGACCCTTGAATGGAAAGCTAATGGGACAGATAGCGCTTTTCCAATCATCATATACTAAAACAGTGGTTCGTGAGTTAAGCAGAATAAATGGTGGTTGATCCCTGTGCCGTGATTATACAGACCATTGGGTTTTTATTCACAAAATAAAACATTTTTCGGGGTCTATTGTTTTCTGTCAAAGAGAAAATCAAATGTCGGGGGGGTGTTGGGGAGCAGGCTAACACAAACAGAGGAAAGTGAGTTAACGTCTTAGGTTCGTTCTGACGAAAGGTGATCTAAACATTAACCCATTATCCTATCTCCATAGATGCTGCCTGACCTTGCTGAGTGTTCCCAGCCACTTCTGTTTTTATTTCAGATTTCTGGCATCTGCAGTATTTTGCCTTTTAACAAAGAGTAAATTTGCTATTAAATTTTGACCATTCTTGTGCTCCTAGTAATGTGGTCAATAATAAATTTACTAATTTGTTTGTGCAGACAAACGGCCTGCGTTGGGATGTCCCGTCGTACCCGCTCCGAGGACCTCGTTGGCAGCACAGAAGGATGGAGGGGTTAGACAGCGGGTAAGAGCTGAAGACAAGGGCAATGCCAATGAGCACGGCAAAGAAAATCTACATAAATCATTGTTGAACTGTCCCTCAAACCCGGAAATGAAGAGTACGGCTTTAAATGGACAAGTGAAGAGGGATTCGGTGGAAATGAAACCCGCCGAGGAGAATTCGCCCACAGAGGAGCCCCAGGAGAGCCCGACAGAGGAGGCCGTGCGGTAGTTTGGGAAACGCCATAAAATCACAGCCCATCACTTTGTGTCAGACAGCCATCATTACACCACCAAGAGCAGAGCCATCACAGTGACCAGCAAAACGAGAGAAGAAGGAATTGCAAGGCCACCAGCCAGTATCGAGAACGCCACAAAATAGAAGCAAACTGTGCGAGGAAGTAAAAGAGGTTATTGTTCACGTGCTGCACAGCACAGTAGGTTTGTGAGGACCTGAGGATTAAATGAGAAACCTGAACTTGATCGACCAGCAAGAATTGGTTGAACCCATCCAATTCACGGCAACTCGGCAAATTCACTGGATACACGAGATACATCAGACGTGTTTGGAGTTTGCGTGAGATTTGGAACTCTAGGTTTACGAGGTTGACGCAAGTGCAGGGCTGGAACATATCCCTGAGCTGGTGTGTGTCAGAGATTGTACGAAATGTGGGACCTGCTCTTCTGTACTGACTTGTACCAAGAGTTTGTGGGGAGACGGATGAAGATGGATACAGCTTAGTATCAATGCTTTCCTCCAATTTGTAATTAAAACACTGCTTCGTTTCTCTCTGCTTTGAGGATAAAAGGTCCCTTTTTTTGGCTAGAGTCCCAAATGTTTTAATTCATCTCAAGTTTGCTATTGTTAATGCTGCCGTTTTGTACAATTTTTTAAAAAAACATTAGTTCAGGTACTGCCACAGAATTTGTTTTGTAAGTAACCAAAGCTTGATTGAAAATAACTGATTTTAGGAATGTCTTTATTCAAATGTCGTTCATCTTCGGAAAAATTATGTATGTAAGACTGGCCTTGTTTCTTAATTGATGTAACCTTGCCTTACGATGATATACCCAACTTGTTGATGTCATTTAAAATGGTTCTGATTCCACTCACTTTCAATATATCTACACTTGTCAAATAAGTCAGTGACTACTTGACCAACAGGACTGTGCTTATAACTCTCCCTGTTATTATTGTGATACAAATATCTTTAAAATCACCTATAAGAGATCATTCCAATAAAATTGTACAGTATTTTACAAGCTCACTGTTTCTGTTGCCCTGAGTTGACCTGGAAAGCCACTGCACAATAACTGGCATTGAAAGTGGGTTTTACCATCGAGAACATCTGAAAGTGCTTCATAAAGGGCAGTGAGTGGAAGGCACGTAATCCCACTGAAGTGCTCGAAGGGGGTGGGTAGAGTCCGGGGCATATTGGCCAAGACTTGGTCTGTGATGGCGGAAGGACCGGGGCTACAACTGAAACACTGGAAAGTGGAGGTTGAGATCAATAATAATATACAATATTAATAATAATAATAATCCTTGCAGTTGATATAGCTCCTTATGAGAGTTGCTGTAAAGTAAAGCTGTAAAGTGCGTATTTGTAAGCGAGTACAGCCTTTCTGTCCCACAGACAGCCATGAAGGCAATTATCTGATGGATTGTTAATGATAATAAACCTTACATTTGATCCAGGGCCTTACCACATCATCGAGACTTTTCAAAACGCTTTACAGAATATATAGTAAAGTGAATTGACTGTATTTTGTGGTCGATTGTTGGTCACGGCACTAGAGGAAACTTTCTTTTCGAACAGTGCCACAGGATCTTTAAAATCATCCTGAACATGCAGGAGGAACTTCAGTTTATTGTTTAGGCCAAAGGACGGCACCTCTGGCAATGTAGTTTAGCCCCAGCATCGCACTGGAGTGTCAGCGTTGTCGACTGTGAGCTCAAAGCCCTGATGTGAGATCAACAACCCTCTAGCTTGAAGGCGAGAGTGCTCCTCCTGAGCCTGGTATGCATCTGACATAACACCCTTCATGTTTGGATAACGTCTCTAAGTGCCTCACAGGATTTACTGTAAAGAGAAGTGACTGTGTATTTTGTAGACAGATGAGAACTGTACTAAAATGCTGGTTTTATCTGTGGACTCGTACATTAATTCGCTCAGCATAAAATTCCAGAACTGTTACATTCCATGTAACTGATCCCATTTGAGATCAAAGTATATCCTTGCATCACGCACCTGAGAGAGCCATTGTGTGTCACACCCTGGGGAGCGAGGCTGTGGTTAGTGATTGATGGGCACTGACAGAAGGGATGAGATTCATACCTATAAATGAGTCTCAATAATTCATCTAATCAGAATCTTAATTTAAAACCCATCCCTTATTATAAAACTGCATTTTATGCTACACATCGGGGAGACATCTGAAACTTCATAGGATTTACTGTAAAGTGTAGTATCTGTGAATTTTGCAGGTAAATGCAACAGCGGATAAAGTCAAGTTTGTGTTATGCTCAGTCGCCTTTTGTTATTATCCATATTATGTTATACTGGTGGCCGGTCTTGGCTGTGCTTGGTATGTTTTGTCCACAGTTGAGTTTGTGTATTGCTATAACTATATAATGTTATAATTTGTCTAATAGGATGCAAATTTCTGGTGCTGATTAATAAAAGGTTAATGTTATACCCAGGGTTACTTGAGCACCAGAAATTCAATGCAAAGAGAGGTGAATGGTCCAGTGAGTGTGCAGGATGGGTTGAAGCACACACAGATATCCCGTTAGGAGTGTGCAGCAGGTTGATGGGACAGACAGATGATCCAATGGGAGCACGGAAAGAGGTGGTGACTTGTGATTCAATTTCAAAGCTAAAATAGTAAAAAGAATAATTGCACTTTTAAAACAAAACTCATTATAGTGAAATTAAAGTAAAACGTTGGATATTTTTGCATTTTTTTTAATCCTTGACATTGTAAATGCCTACGACAGCGACAACAAATTACATTTGTATCGCGCCTTCATGTCTGGAGGACATCCTAAAGCGCTGGACAGTCAGGGATCCGCACCCGAGCTGGTGGTTGGGATCAGGAGAGGTGGAGGGTGGGGATGGGAGGGGTAGGAGGGTGACCGAAGGTACGATTGAAGAGGAGGGTCTTGAGACGGGTCTTGAAGGAGGCAAGGGAGGGGGCGAGACGGAGGGACTTTGGAATGTAGTTCCAGAGGATGGGGGTAGAGAGGCTGGAGTCCCACCCAACAATGGTGGGGCGGGCAAGCCGGTGGACATGAAGCAGGCCAGAGGGAGCGGATAGGTTGGTAGGGAGTTAGGGGGTCACGGAGATAGAGAGGAGCAAGGCTGTGGAGGGCTTTGAAGGTGAGACCAGGATCTTGACTGTATCCTCTGAGTGAGAGGGAAGCCAGTGGAGTCGGGCGAGGATGGGGATGATAGAGTCGGGGAGTCTGTTGTGGGAGAGGACACGGTCTACAGAGTTCTGGATGATCTGCAGCCTGTGGAGGGAAGAGTTGGGGAGGCTGACAAGCCGGGCATCCCAAGCCTTAGTTTCCTTGTCCTAATGGACATCTGCCCTCAGCATAGCGTGAGCATCTTTACAGGACAGCATGAGACATGGGTGTTCTGGGTGGGAAAATAAGTGAAGGAACGTTCTTATGTTGGATGGATGTGCAGTTCTGCAATCTGCCAGCGCATGATGCACTACCTTAAGCCAGAGGCCCAAGCCACAGCAATGCTGAGCTACCGCAACCCAGTAATAAGGAGCAGACTACGATAAAGCTGTGCGTGTGGTGGGTGGAGGGAGGGGGAGAGTGATAAGCACACACACGCCGTTCTGGGTCGTTGCTCTTTGCACTACTTACCAGTGTCCTGGAGAGAACGCTGCTTCTCATAATATTACACAATGTTCTGCAGATACAGCTATGTGGGCAGGTTACAGGGTTAACCCTTCTTGTGTACAGTATATATATATATACTTTGTGCTTGTCTGCAATAAAATCCATCGGTCAGTAGTCTGAAGATTTCCAGTTACTGTGAAACTGTTGTCAACAGAGTTAACCAAACAATCCATGTTTCACTATAGATTGAGCGTAGTTACCAGTGTAGCTATGTAGTGGTGAGCCCACATTTGGAGTACAGTCAGGCAGTGTTAGCTGTCTACTGTCAAAATGACACTGTCGACATTTCAGAGAGCTCAATGAGGATGATTCTCAGAGCTAAACCTGTTGTCATTACAAATAAGGTTAATGTGGCCCAGATCTTTAAAATGATGGGCAGAGTAAGCAAGCTACAGAGTATAGATCTGAGCACTTCAAATAGGACTAGAGATTAGAATTATTGGAGGGTGTAGGTGCAGATGCCTGTTCAAGTGCGGTGAAGTTATAGAACGGATGAACAAACACTCCTCCACAAGACATGATGATCTCTGTGTTGCTGGGTGTGTGGCGGGATGTGGTTGAGTGGAGGGAAGGAAGTCAGGTTTAAATTGTGGGGCAGTAAGGATATTCTGGAGTTTCTGCGTAGCTACCTTCGTGAATCAGGAAGTGTCTCTGATGAACTTTCCCCGAGGAGGTAGATGGAATGGGTGTTTGGCTCATTATATCTGCCCCATTGCCCTACATCTGGTCTTCTAATTTGCCCTTTAGTAATCCCACTCTCCAGCTTATTCCCCATCACCCTCATGTTTACAATACAACACTGTACAAATTTATATTCATATAGCGCTTTCCACATTGGGGGATGCCCCAAGGTACTGGACAATCCAGGGTTTACCCCTCAACTGAGGATCGTAGTGGGGGGGGTGGGGACAGGGGGAGAAGTTGACCGAAAGAGAAAGGTCTTGAGGTAGACCTTGAATGAGCCATGGGAAGGAGCAAGCCAAAGGGACTCCAGATACTTTGTAAGGTTTATAAAAATAAACTACCCCTGTAGCAACTCAATCAGCATCTGAAATAGAAAGTTGTGATTCTACATCAGGACCCTGCGGTCAGGTGAGTGGCCTTCTCAGCTGATGTTCTGCTTGGGATAGTCAAAGTGTGTGTGTAAGACCTGATGAGGGGACTAACTAACTGCGATTCACCTGCCACTCAGTGCTGACATGTCACATTCCTACTCAGTGACAGCCACTGGCAGGAGACGAACACAGTGGGGTTTAACTACTTTACACTGAGCTGTTGAATATATGTATAACATTTCCCAGAGGTGAGGGGGAAGGAGTAAGTAACTGCACTTGCAACAATTTGAAGAAAATTATCAGATATTTTCCCATACTCTATCACTCTCCCAAATGTCCTACTCCATTGTACTGCCTCCTGTGTCATATTATTTTATGTACTTATAGAAAACTCTGAAAGACTTGCAGCTACTTGGGGTTTTAACAACCCTCATGAATTGCTTCAGCACTTATCCCAGTGACTGGTGCATCCAATACACAAGCATGATGTTCTGCTCACTGATTGCTAATTCTAAATTCTGCAGCACTTTTGGGGTGTTAGATGACCTTAGCCGTGTTTTGTGTAGCATGCTTGAAGGGGTATGATAAGTCTCTTGTGGTCAGAGGCAGATAGTTTGTGCTTCCTGTGTCACGCCACTGAGATCAAGATTTTGCTGAGGTAAGATTTCAGCCTGACACTGGTTTGCACTGTAAAGCAAGTTAATGGGCACGTTGCCAGTAACATATTACAGTTTCATTGGGCTTTACAGCCACATGCCCGCATAAAAGTGAATCAGGTTAGACATTTGGACGGCATTTAGCTCTTTAGTTTTTAAAAAAGAGAAAAAAGGTGAAATATCCTGTATAAAAAATAACATTAGTTAAAAATAACACCAGCCACCTTCCTAGGGAGAGTGTCTTAAATCTTCTGGGTAAACACAGACATTGAAAAAAACAAATAGCGCAAGACGTGGGGTTTAATTAGGGGTTCAGGCAGGAAGCTTTCCTCAGGTGGGCATTTTTAAATTATCCGAAGGAAAAACAAAACAAACTGATGTGGTTGAGTATAAAAAGTAGAGGAAGCAGTGCAATCTTGTGAAGAGGTCTCAACAGCTTGATAAGGTGCAAATGCAAGGATTATTATTATATTATCTTTACACAGTGAGAACAAAGACCACAGCGTTTCACAGGATCCACTTTAAAAAAAGGGTACATGCGTGTTATAAGCACTTTGAGCACAGCACAGCAACGTTGCCATTCCCGCAGACGAGATACTAAACACTACTCCTACATTCCATGTACTGTCCTTCTTGTCACAAATGTTCTATTCTGACTGACTTTTCTCTACCAAATGCCCTCAGTGGCCTCTTTCTTGCTCACTACTAATTTCAGCTGTTTATAATAATAATAATAATCCTTGCATTTGATATAGCGCTTTTCACGTCAGGCGGACGTCCCAAAGCGCTTCACAGAACACACTGTAAAGTGAATTGACTGTATATTTGTGGGCGAACGCGGCAGCCAATTGCGCACATCAATGTCCCACAAACACTCGTAGATTGAAAATGACCAATTTATTATTGTTTTTGTTTCGGAGGGATTATTATTAGGCTCTGTGTGGAGTAAGGAAACTTGCCCGAGGTTTCGCCCTCTGCCTGGGATTGAACTCAGGTCTCTCACTTGCAAAGCGAGTGCTCTAACCACTGAGCTACAGGACTCCACAAATGTAGATACAAACGATCAAACTCAGAATAACTCCGGTCGACAACAAAACACTGCGAGTCTCAGTAAAATAAGGAAGGAAATATCTCCAAATAAAATCTAAGCTTTTAATTCCAGATATTAAAAATATTATGAATATATACACAGTCACACACATAGAGTCTTCAAAAGTAATAAGTAAAGGAATTAACACAGTAAAAACAAAGGTTTTATGAGAGTCACAAACAAGCAATCAGATTACCTCTCTTTTAAAAATTCCTTCACACTCTGGCACATCCCAACTTTTCCGACTTGCTTGCTTCACACTCCACTACCTGCTGCCTCCATTCGGCTGGTTCTGGCCTCGTGCTTGTCCCTCGTCCCCTCCGCTCCATCATCAGTGGCCTCGGTTTCAACCACTACGCCCAAAAGCTTTGGCACTCTCTCCCCCAATTTTTTGCCTTCTCCCTCCTTCCTCTTTTAAAGATCATGACTGAAGACCTTCCTCTTCGACCATGCTTACGGTCACCTACTCCCTTCCCTCGGCTTGCTGTCAAGCTCTGCCACTGTTAAGTGCTCGAAGATGCTGACCTGCGTGAAGGGCACTATATAAATGCAAGTTGCTTTGCTGTCCCCTCCTACCCCTCGTTCTGAATTAGTTGAATTCCTATTTCAAAACGTAATGGTAAGTAAGTGACTGTAACCGAGTGTCAAGGCATCTCGCACTATCACGCTGTTTACCTAGCACTAGTAGGAACCCAGATGTTAGTCGATTTATGGATTGCTTTCCAGGGGTAATAATGCCCTAAAAAAAAGTCATTCAATCCATGACTTTGTGGGACACTTCAGTGCTCAATTAGCTGCTGCATTTTGCCACCTTACACTTACTCTACAGTATATTCTGTGACGCGCTCTCATTCGTCTCAATGATCTGCAAAGGCGCTATATCAAATGCATGGATTATTATATATCCTAAAACTGGACCTCAAATCACGAAAAGGCAATACAGGCACCGATTTCTATTTCTTTACAGCTTCAAGATCTCTTATCAATTCAGCAGATCAACTTCCCAGATCAATATTGTATACTTGTTCTGAGTAAACTCTCTCTCTCTGGATAACCTCCTCTGGGATCTGACCTCCCTTCTGCACCTTCATTACCACACTCTCAGAGGTCTGGTCTTGACAAAGACCTTTGAATTTAACGAATCAATCATTCAGATTCAAATGGGGGCTTCAAAGGAATTATTCAATTTGAGGCATGAAAGAATTTGGCCATGGCCTTTGTATTAATATCCCTGACTATTGTAACTCTCAATGTATTTGTACCCAAGGTTGACCAGCAGTAAGACAATAGTCATTCAACTATTTTCCAGACCTCACAGGGCCCCTGTTGTTGATCACTCTGACTGCTGGGACATTCCTTACACACAGAGTGGCTTGAAAGCTTTCAAGAAAAGAATTGACATACTTATGTTACACATTAATGGAATCTCAATCACAAACACAACAGAGTCCCCTGCTGCCCATGTGGTATAGTATATTTTCTTTTCCTGTTGCATTGCTGGATTAATCACTATATGGCTGTCCTCCAGATAAATTGTATTCATTTCCTTCATGGCTTTTCATGAAACTTTGCACAAAAAATGTCATGTCTGCCTACAAATACAACAGCTACCTTTGAGAGAAATTACCTATTACAGTGTTTTGACATAAATTAGGATATTAACTGATTGGCTTGGCCTAAATTGAATTGGGTCAATTACTAGTGAATCGCTCACAAAAATTCAATTTACAATATATTCTGTGAAGTGCTTTGAAACTTCTCAAAGATGTGATAAGGCACTATATCAAATGCAAGGATTATAATAATTATTATTATTATTGAGAGGTCTCCTTTGGGATAAGTTGGCTCCAATGTACCCTGCCAATCACGTTGACCCTCTGTGGTGGTCTCGGTATCTAAGTCGCTGAGGCAGGTGGTTTCATGGTATCCCCAACACACCGCTGATAGTAAACCATCCAGTCTGGTTCGTCAGTAGGACTTGGAGAGGCAGGGATTTTTCCCACTCGGATTCCCGTTAGCCCTACAATTCAAAACCATACTGGGTCGGGTGGTTTGAGCTGCCAAACAATGTGGGGAACCTCTGGGGTCAGGGGGCTCGGACTCAATTCTGGACAAAGGGAAATTCCCAATGCATTTGTGGAACTTTGTCTGGTTTGGAGGCTGTTCAGCCTAGTGATGGTTTACAGTTAGATTGGGTTAGATTGGGTTAATTAGATTGGGTTAGTTACATTGGGTTAATTAGATTGGGTTAGTTACATTGGGTTAATTAGATTGGGTTAATTAGATTGGGTTGGGTTACATTGGGTTAATTGGGTTGGGTTACGTTGGGTTAATTGGGTTGGGTTACATTGGGTTAATTGGGTCACACTTTGCATTAGATTCGATTGGGTTAAACTGATGGTGTAAGGCAGACAGAGCGCCACCTGGCGGCTCCCAGCGGCCGGCGTGATGACGTCGCCTTGCGTGGGAGTCACGTCGGGTCGGCGCCCCGTGTCCTGCGCGCGTAAACATTGCGCGAGCGGCGCAACTTCCACTCTCTTCGCAAGTGGCCGCCCGCCGAGGGGTGGCGGCGCCGGGAGCTGGCGAGGCGGCGGCACCGGAGGGCACGGGCCTGCCTGGAGGCGGCGGCGCGGTGAGCGGCGGGGCCCGGGTGTGTTGGGTGGCGGCGGCGGCGGGTTTCAGGCGTTGGCGGCGGCTGACGGACAGCCTGAGCGCGCGCGCGCGGCCCGGCGGCCCTCCTCTCGCACTAACCTGCTAGCGGAGCTCCCGCCTCAGGCTGATTGGCTCCCTGCCTTGCGGGCGCGCCTCTGATTGGTGAGAGGCGCCGTCACTCAAGGCAAAGGGGGAAGGGGGCGGGCGGTTCCGTAAGCAAGTTAGGTTGCGCGGCACAGCCCGACTCGGGGCCCGAGGGTCAGTCAGTCAGTGAGTGAGTGACCCACCCCGTGTGGAGGGGAGTTCTGACCTCTGGGACAAGAGCTCTGGGGCGCTATCCTGCGTGAGGGACGCTATGTAAATGAAAGTTGTTGCTGAGGGATGGAGCGAGTGGCCGGGGGGTGGTCAGTGGGTCGGTCAGTCAGTGGTGGTGGTGGTGGTGGAGGGGGGTCATTGTCCGGGCTGCGGCCCCCCGGCCCCTGGCAGCGCTGCACTGGGTGTCTCCTCATCCCTTTAACCGCGACTTGTCCTGTGCATCACTTTTTAAATGGACGCTCGGGTGCAGTGCCCGAGTGCGTCGTCGCTGACGCCGTCCCCCTTTGCATGAGATGTTAAACCGAGGCCCCATCTGTGACTCTTCACGTGGATAGTAACGACCGATCCCGTGGCGTTATTCACCCAGGAGTGTGGGGGGGGTTCCCCGCTGTCCGCTGACACTCCTCCGGCTGATTGCTCCCTCTGTAACCGGAGGCTCTTAAAAACAAATAAGGCTAATTGTTGCCTCTTCCAATGCTGCCCCACACACTGAGATGTGCGAACTCAGCAACTACAAATAACCTGACTTTAAGGTATGGGTTCCTTTGTACGTTGACAGCTGAAGGTTCTCGTTGGTAAATGAACAACATTATTTGGAGTGTTTATGTTTCGGTGAACTCAGAGGTGTCACTGTGGTGAGTGTCCCAAGTGGTGTAGTCAATGTGATTAAAATTGAACTAATGCCAGTTTGATCTGAGGTGAAGTTCTGTATATGTGATCACTGAGTACATATAATAATAATCCTTGCATTTGATATGGTCTTTTACTATGTCAGTGAGATGTCTCATTGCTTCACAGGATATACTGTAAAGCGTAGTGACTGTGTATTTTGTGGGCGAAACCTGTGCAACCAGGTTGCACACAGCGGTGTCCCACAAACACCATGGAGTGAGTGAGTGTTTTATCGGGGTATTGTTTGCCAGGATGCCAGAAGAAACTCTCCTCTTTTTGAATAGTGCCATGAGATCTTTTAACATCCACCTGAACAGGTAGATGAGACCTTGGTTTAAAGTCTCATCCGAAGGACAGCAATTCCGACAATGCAACCCCCCTTCTTCCCCCCCACCCCAGATTGCATTGGAGCGTCACCTTAAACAATGTGCTTCCAAATCCTGATGTAGGGCTTGAACCCACAACCTTCTGACTCAGGTCTGACTTTTAGCTTCTGACTTTTTCTTACCCTAAATACCCCTTAAATATATCTCTATTCTATCCCCCACCCCTCTCCCCCGCTCGTATTCCCAGGCCAAGTAAATGGGCAGATGACCTTCTGCAAAGTATTTGCTAGTGTCACTCACTAACCTACTACTCAGCGTTGTATACCTGCATCGTGGTATAAATTGTTCTAATTCCTTCTCCTTTCACTTGGCACTGTTTATTCAATAAACTCACTACCTATGGAATCTAGGTATGAAGCCAGACTCGGTGGCACATTTCATTAAAAAACAACTCAAAAGATTCACATAAGCTTTTAATCTAAAACTTAGGTTCTGAATTTGAGGCCTATTTCCTCGAGTTAAATACTTGTTCTGATTTGTTTAAATTACTGTAGTTCTAGACTATCCCAAGTGGATGCTGACATTGATCTCTTGAATATTTCCTTTGCTGCTGTACCCTGGCTTATTATTTTACATAGATTATAGTAATGATGTTCTGTAAATTGGACTTGCTGCTTACTTTTGTTATTTGAATCTGAAGGAGAGGGATGGATAGAAAACATCTTGTGAAACTATAAACTCTTTCAAACCCAAGTTCATGTGATGATTAAGATACATGGCCATTTGACAATAAGATTGCAACAAGACTGCCTTCGAGTGAGTAATTGTCATGCATTTTGAAAGTGCAATACAGCAAGTTGCATATACTGCACATGCACTTTAGAGATTTAGGCAGTAAAAATTGGATAAGTATTTTCAATCTGTTTTGCAGTGCTTTAGGCATGTAATATGGGGAGAAGGAAATGGAATCGGGTATGAGATCTCTTACTTGGAGCAGAATTCTGTTGCTTTATGGATACTGTTGCTGTGACTAACAGAATGTGTAATTGCCTTGGCATTCTCTTAAAGGAATAATTTATTCTGCACCCTCAAATGAATATTGTTGTTCTGTTGAGTCAAGGCCATAGAATGACCAGACAGGAAATGATTTTATGTTGTAGTGAGAATGTGTGTACTTTTGTAAATGTGAGTACTTTTGTAAATGTTATTCATATGAAAGTAGTTTTTGTTGTGTGGCATTACTGCGACTCATAATGCACCAGAAGAAGTGAGTCATGGTTAAATGGGCATTGCTTAAAATTCAGTGGAAGACTAAAAACTGCCCCAAGGGGCCACGCTACAACACTGATTGAACGACCTGGACAGCAGAGTATGGGTCATCCACAAAGTTTGGACCAAATTAATATTTGCTGGAAACCAGCCAAATTATTTGTGTTTATTTGAAGTTCATTTGAATTGAAGAACGTCTCTGCCAGATAGCAGCCCACGCTGGAGGAGCATGTGTAGGGATGTTGTATGGGAACAGAATCTAGTTCAGCTGCATTCATTTTCCCCCGGTCCCTGTGGTATTCATTCACTGTCAAGGCTCAGACATGGATAATGGCACTTGGGTGAGGTATTGAAAGATATCTAGTGCCCAAAGAACAGTGCTGCGCTTCAAAGAACAAAGAAATAAGAATCCTTGGGGGAAGACAACAAGTGGGGACTATAGTCATGTGGTTGTTCAGTGACCTGAAAAACAGTGCCTGAAGGGTTCTGGGTTAAATGATATTCAGCATTTTGTTAGGAACATCCTGTGCTTGCTATTAACTTATTACATAATATATGGTAGTATTTATTCAATAAACATTTGTAATATTGATCCTGCTAAGTTAATATAATGTGATTTTTTTTTCATTTATTAATGGTACAGCCCAGTAAGTGGAAACATAAATCTCTGCCATTCAGTGTTTTGTCAGTCTTGTGAATTTCTCAGTGGATGTAATTGAGCCAGACTAGGTCAAATGTGAAACACTCTCCCAGTTCAATACAGTACAGTAAGTATATGGTTTCCTGAACTGGGTCCAGGCGTGGGAAGTCACATGACAATTCAGTCTGCTTCTTTCCCAGAGGTGTTTAATATGCTCGAGTATACAAGGGATCCTCAGTAACCCTCTGTGACTGAAATGTACCTGCCTCTGCAGTTCAGTTGTTGAAGAGCAATGCCTGTGGCTGCTTCAGGAACTGAATGACAACAATTACAAGAGCTGACACTGAACAAGTTCATCCTGCAGTTCAGAATTAGCAATGTGATCTATTACAGCGTACTTCATTAACTTTGTCTGGGGAGCAACGAGGACAGTGAGAATTTAATATACAGTAAGATGCCAGCACAGACTTGGTGAATTCAATAGGCTGTTTCTGTGCTGTAACATTCTATGATTCGATCGTACTCGATTGATTTAAATCACAAGATGGGTTTGATGAAGAGGACCATTGGCCCATCCGATCTTATCGCACCAAAAATCCACTCACTCAGTCCACGACTGTTTGTGGGACACTACTGTGTGCAATTGGCTGCTGTGTTTTGCCCACAAAATACAGTCAATTCACTTTAAGGTATATTCTGTGAAGAGCTTTGAGACGTCTCGATGACATAAGACAAGGATTATTATTATTCTTCGGACATGTTTATCCGTTTGAAACGATACTAAATTCTGAAATGATCTCGTTGATTCCTTAAATTAGAGCGACACATTGATATCTGAAATATTATCTTTGTCTCCTTTTCTGAGGTGGGGATACTAGTCATGAAATTCCTGGCTCAGTTGGTTTGACTCTTGCCTCTGATTCAGAAGGTTGGGGGTTCAAACCCCACATTAGGACTTTGAGCTCACAGTCCAATGCCTTGCTGGGAAGAGCGCTGCATTGCTGGAGGTGCTGTTCTTCAAATTTATTGTTAAACCAGGGTCCTGCAATAATCTTTGCATTTGATATAGCGCTTTATCAAGTTATTGAGACATGTCAATGCACTTCATAGAATATACAGTAAAGTGAATTGACTGTATATTTTGTGGGCGAACCGCGGCAGCCAATTGCACAGAGCAGTGTCCCACAAACAGTCGTTGATTGAGTGACCAATTTTTTTTTAACGGATTATTACCCCCAGAAAGCGAATTGCCAGTCAACTAACAACCAGGTTCCTACTTGCTGCCGGGTAAACTGGCCGGTTTCAAGACCTTTCTCTTCGATCGTGCCTTTGGACGTCCTCCCATCTCTCTGCCTTCCCTCAGCCCTACATCACCCCTCCCCCATGCTCGGGCCCCGACACCTGACTGTTCAGCGCTTTGGGACATCCTCCTGACTCTATAAATGTAATTTTGTTGTTGTTGAGTTAGGAAATTTGCCTAAAGCGTCATTCTACCCGGGAATCGAACTAGGTCCTCTTGCTTGCGTGTCGAGTGCGCTAACCACTAAGTTACAGGACTCCACAATGTGGATTACGTGGACTTTAAAGATCCTATGGCATGATTTCAAAGGAGAAGAGAGTTTCTCCCAGTATCATAGCCAGAAATCCCTCAGATAAATGGTTGTTTACTTCATAGCTGTTTGTCGGACATTGCTCAGCATGTTCTTTTTCAAATTTACAGTCACTACACCTATTAATGAAATTCTGTGAAGCGCTTCGAGATGTTTTAATGATGTGGGATCAAATGCAGGAATCATTATGAATGAGACAGAATGATCATTCAAAAGTCAAATTAATTTATTCTGAATGATGAGTACATTTATGTAAGAAGTATTGTGGTCCATAAGGTCAGTGAGCTAATTCTAACACTTGATCCATCCTGGGTTATGCTTGGAATTCTTCAGTAAAGGTGGTCCATTCATTAGTCCTGAGAACTCATTCCATTTCCTGGAATTGTCATAAGCATTAAAATAAAGCGCATGGTGTCTTACTCATTTGAGTTACCACATTGCCACTGCAGGAAGTGAAACTTCTACTATCTCAGACAGTGGGTATGTGTGAGATTCTATCCTTCAGCATTGTCTAGACTCCTCTGCAGTTTTAGGTTATTACCACTACACTTGTTCATTATTTCAGGATCATTATTCCTTTTTGATTGAGTCATTAGGGCTGCCAGCACTTACTGTACTGGCAAATATTTGACAAATCCCACCTTAAACAAGTCAAACCACACTCAGCATCAGTCACTGCCAGCAGGAGAGGAGGCGGAAATCAAATTAAATTGTAATTTAAAGTGCTTAAATATTAATGTAGGACTGCACATGCACTCTGTAGGGCTCGAGCCACTGGACTTCTGGCATGTGGAACATAAATGCAGTCTAGTTCATTGTTTGGATTGACATACAACTCGGCTCCTTTATACCTCAATGAAAGCGAGAGGACCTGGGTTTGATTCCTGGGTAGGGCGAAACATTAGGCAAGTTTTCTTACTCCACACGCCTCTGTTTACCTAGCAATAAGTAGGAACTCAGTTGTTAGTCGATTGTTGGATAGCTTTTCTGTGGTTAATAATCCCTTCAAAAAAAATAAATAATTTGGTCACTCAATCCACGACTGTTGGTGGGACACTGCTGTGCACAATTGGCTGCCGTATTTTGCCCACAAAATATACAGTCAGTTCACTATAGTATATTCTGTGAAGCACTTTCCGGTGTCTCAACGACATGATAAGGCGCTATATCAAATGCGAGGATCATCATTATTATATTACCTTGTTTGATTGGTGCCTGGAAGTCTTTTAATAGCTCTGTATAAGGGGTGTTTCATATGACTACTATGCATACATTATATAACAGATACATATATAGTACTTTCAACACTTTTGCCAGATCTCACACCTGCTTTAATAAATTTGAATACATTTGTAAAATCTGTCTATTCTTGAGTTATTTTGTTTTCTCTCATGACATTTTTCACGCCTGGTGGCACTGTGGGATTTCACTCGGATTTCTCAGAAGTAAAATTAATTGTAAGCATCTAATTTGGAATCTTATCCTTCCAGGTGGAAAAAGAACCTATTCTGGTTAAAGGTCTTTGAAAAGGGACAAAATGGGACGTCCTCCCGACGTGAAAAGCGCTATATCAAATGCAAGGATTATTATTATTATAAAATGGAAAGCTTTAAAATTGCACACAATTCTGTGCTTCAAAACTGTTAACAACAACAGATTACATTTACACACCGCCTTTCACATCGGAAGGACATCCTGAGGTGCTGGACATTCAAAGGTTTGCGCCCGAGCTGGGGGTTGGAATAAAGAGGGGTGGAGGTTATGAATGGCTGGGTGGGAGCGTGGCCGAAGGGAAAGTTAGAGAGGAACCGGCCTTGAAGGAGGCAAGGACGGGGGTGAAGTGGAGAGATTCCAGGATGGAATTCCAGATGCCAGGGGCAGAAAAGCTGAAGGTCCAACTACCAAAGGTGGGGCGGGCAGGGCAGGGGACATGGAACAGGCCGAGCAGAGGGAGCAGACAGGTTGGTAAGGTGTTAGTATGTCGCAGAGGTTGGCAGGAGCGCAATCCTGAAGGGCTTTCAAAGTGAGTATAAGGATTTTAAACTCAGTCCTCTGGGGGCTGATCACAGATATTTGTTGCACCCCGAGAACTGCAGTTTAATCAAATGTAATTTCTTAATGTAGGAAATATCTGCTCTTTCAGGACCCAATACAACACCATAAACTACTAACTCGACCCTGGCTTAATTTGTCACTACCATATAAGCCATCTCGCTGTCAACTTCCCGGCTGCATTTATACGTATGCCTAACTCGCCACTACGGATAACTCGTCAATGAGCTAGGGCTTCTTGGAATGACAATTAATCGGGAGCTTACTGTAAATATACACCATATAGCATGTATTTGGTTCCTATACACAGGCAGGTACTTTTGTGCCACTGACAAATTCATCTCTTAAAAGTAGATTTGTTTGAAAATCTTGCTTTAGTGGATTATCCTCCAGCTATTTTTGTTGTCAAATTACACAAATTAGTTGAGCACCACAATGTCTCTTGTTAAATGCCTGCCTCCAAACCAGTCCGCTATTGAACTGCAAATCATTAGTCAGCAGTCAGTAGCTGTGTAACATGTAAAACAAATGCCAAGTTCGGACTCATATCATGGCTTATGAGCCTGCTGAGTGATGAGAGTACATTCTGTTCACTGCACAGTATGTTAACAATGATAGAAACCACAAGTTAAGGAGGAGTAGCTTGTACATTCTTGATTTAAAAAAAAATGCTTTTTCCTTGTATCTCCAGAAACTTGTTTTTTTCAAGCATGTGACACTGTCCACATAATAATAATCCTTGCAGTTGATATAGCGCCTTATCACATCTTCGAGACATCTCAAAGTGCTTCACAGAATGTACTGTAAAGTGAATTGACTGTATGTTTTGTGGGCGAAACACAGAATCCAATTGTCCACACCAGTGTCTTACAAAGAATCGTGGATTGAGTGATCAAAGTATTTTTTTCATGTAGTGCTTTATTGGTGAAGGTATTATTGTTAGTGAAGGCAGCCATACATACAACTGGCAGGTGTCTGCTGCAATTCCTGCTGTGTGCTGAGCTCGCTGCTCAAAGTCAGGGTAGCTGGAAGCGTGCTCATGTTGGCCTCTATGCTCCTCAGTATGGGTGGGGAAAAATCACCCAAGGTTCTTGCTCTTTATGCTGGAAAGCTTGTGCTGGGTGAAGACAGGATCAAGCTTGGCCGTGTTGTCTCATTCTTCCCTTTTAATGGTTGTATAACACAACTGATGCTCACTGTGTGAAGAATGGCCACTTGAGGTCTGTTGCCTGTGGAATTGTGGGGCAGACAAGAAGCCAACAGCATGCAGTGTCGGGTGCCACTATTGCATTTGTTCCCACGTGACTCACTCTTTACAAACTGCAGCGATCTGCAGATCTGTAAGAAAATACGGCTGCATTCTGCAAATGGTGCAGTGTTCGAAATAGGTCTCCATTTTTCATTCTTAAAATAAATGATCCAAACGTTAAATGCAGGTTTACTTGATGCTGTTCCTCGTAGATTGGGCAGCATTCGCTATTCTACCAATAAACAAATCCAGCCACCTCACTCCTTCAGAGGACCAGTTTACTACCCAAACCCAAGGTCACTACTACTCAATAGGAATGGATGGACATGTCTAAATAACATGTTTTTAACCTCAACAGGTGCCTGGATGTTTTGTGTCAAGACTTTGACCAATTTGAGTTTGTGCCAACAATGGACACATCAAGGATATGACTGGAGGCTTGCACTGCTGAGGAAGTGGGTAGGAGGTCATGGAAAAGCTACAGGATGTATCATCAGACTCTAAGGAAGAGGGGGATGATGGAATGGACCCAAAGTCCACAGAATATGAAACTCTGGGACCAGATACTGAAATAGCCTCCAGTAGTCAAGCAGGTAATGAAACATTTTACAACTTTGATTAGATATGATAAAAGTATTCTTGTTTATTTGTGATATTTTAAACACTATTAGTTAATGCAAGTTGAGTAGTATTTATTTGCTGGTCAGTCATTCTCAATATGTGTGTGAGGCTTAAGCAAAGAAATTGTACGAAAGAGAGTACAGAGTGTTTTCTCTGTTGGTTGTTCTCACAGCCAGTGTAGAGTGCAGTAGTGTGAGTTTATAAGCTTGGATCTGTTTACTTAGTTGTGTCCTGTCTGTCTGCCTTCACCTAGACCGATGTAACAGAACACAATAAGTTGAGCGTGTTTTTGTTAATCTTCAAATATTTTTAAACTTTTCAGAGTTGGAATTGTACTCATAGGAAATTAGAGTTGTGGTTGAGTCTTTTTTTTAAAAAAAAGGTAAAATGATAACTTAATGAGAACTAAATGGCTAATGTCAGGTCTGAGACAAGTTTGACAAATTCAGTCCACATAAATGGGATGAAACTGTCCTCTTTATCAGCTGAAAGGCTTTCATTTACGCAGGTATGAGCACCTGAACTATTGGGGTTCCTAATCAGGTGTGTCTTCAGTGGAAAGTTGTATAAAAATACCCTCACTCAGGGGTAGCTGAAGTCTCACAGCAGGATATGCTCTTTGAGTGGAAGTTGCTGGGAACACTCGGCAAGTCAGGCAGCATTTGTGGAGAGAGGAAAGTGAGTAAACATTTCAAGTCGATGGCTTTTCTTCAGACCTGAAACGTTAACTCACTTTCCATAGATGCTGCTTGACCTGCTGAGTGTTCCCAGCGACTTCTGTTTTTATTCTAGATTTCCAGCATCTACAGTAAATTTTTGCCTTTTGTGCTCTTTGAGTGTTTGGGTTGAAACATTTTGTTGGAGAATGGATGGAGCTTTACCTTGCACCTGGATGTGCTTTCACTTGCTGCAGAGTGTGACTCGTGAAGAAGATTTTATTTCCTCAGTAGTGACGCCTCCATCTCCATTCAGCACAAAAGTTCACCAATAAATTATAAAACAAAGGCGTGGAGATGTGTAAATTCAGATTCCTTATTGCCCAGTTCTGTAACTACACTCTTATGTTCCTAATCAACTCTACCTTTTAAAATTGGGTTTGGTCCCAGAAATTAAAATAACAGCAGAACAAGTGACACAACCAATGTTATTACAGGCTCACATGTTTTACAGGTAAAGATGGTTGGATTTGCCCAAGATTTGAGAACCATTAAAGTCAGGTTTTATTCACAAAATAAAAGCCAAGGCACATAANTTTTTTTCGAAGGGTTTTTTACTCCCGAAACAGCGAACCGCTAATCGACTAACAATGGGGTTCTTAAATACTGCTGGTTAAACAGAGTTGTGTGAAATAAGGAAACCTACCTAATGTTTCGCCTTGCGCAGGAATCGAGCCCAGGTCCTCTCGCTCGCCGGTCGAGTGCTCTAACCAATATGCTAACCTGTAGCGCATTGGTTAGAGCACTCTTATCTATTTTGAGGCATGAATCCTTTTATTTTTCAACAAACTCTTCTTGGTCAGTGCAGGGTTTCTCAAATCCCCCCTCTCACACGTCTACAAAGTGGTAACATTAAAGCCATGAACCAAGTCAGTATCACACCTCTCTGGTCTATGATGATATTTGATGGAAAGAGAATGTAAAGCAAACCAGGCTAGGATTAAATGAGGTTTGTGGAAGCTGAAATGATTTGTTTTCCTGGCGGTACTGCAAAATGACATTTCATTAAGAATGTCACCTGACTATCTCATCCATGTCTTCCCTTCCTCAGATGTAATGGAAACCACCGCTCAATCTGTTATTGTCCAGACCAAAGTCATCAGTGAGGAGGCCACCACCTCGGGAGTGAATGTTGAATGCCGAATATGTGGTGATAAAGCTTCGGGTTTCCATTACGGTGTCCATGCGTGCGAGGGGTGTAAGGTACAGTACATTAAAACATCCGTAACTTGTTGCTGTAGAAAGGCTTCTTGGTTCTTTAGATCTGACACAGGTCTCCTCGTTTTTTTTGGTCGGCCAAGTGTCTCAAACCTGAGGAAACCCGTCACCATGTTTAAGAGTATCCAAATCAGACTGAGAATTCCATGTTTGAGTGAAGGCTCAGGAACCCCACAGTGTGTGTTTGGACACTGCTGGAGCTTAATCAGCTAAAAGCACATAGTTTGTAATTGAGTGTACTGCACAATTGCCAGACTCAGCAATAGAACTACCGAGACTGCCACAGAGGATTGACTCATTTCTGACATTCAGATGCCAACCATATCACCTTGGAGCCAACTCAACCCCAAGGAGTTACTTACTCCTCCCCCTCGAGAGGATAGTTACTAGTTGGTCATTTCACAATAGACTGATGAGAGTTAGAGACCAAACTAGGTGGATGGCAGGTCCCGGGAGCTCTCATTGAGCTTCTTGATTAGTAGCATAGGGCAACACGAAATGCATAAGAGCACTACCACCTCCTTCTGCCCACAGCTTGACCACATCTCTAGCCATTGAGGGATGGTTCCACCAGTTGGAAAGTGCAGAGTTTGAGCAGCATAACAATCAAGGTGGATACCAAGTGAAGGATATATGAGCTTGTGTGTTCATTAATCTGGACTCCAGGTAATACTTCCTCATGAAAGTTGGGAGTGATAAAATGCAACTGATGCAAATGCAAAACAGTTTATTTTAGTAATGACATAAAATTTTCCTACATTAAATATATATATATATATATATGCGCAAGTCAGCAAGAATATACATTTCCTATATGTTAGATAACCTAAGCGTAATTAGTAAGCAGTGTTTAAACAAAATTTATGCTGGGCAAAAGTAATATTTGTTTCTCGTGTTTTTGTTTCTGTATTTTCAGCCACTTTGACCCACTCTCTAGAACTCTCCCCAAATCCCTCCATCTCACACCTAACTTCTGCTTTCCAAAATCCATTCAAAAGCTTACTTCTTCATGCACCTTCCACCCTCCACTCTCCTACCCTCTGTCTCCCACCATGCTCCAGATCCCATTCCATTTCTGTGAAGAGCTTTGAGACTTTTTCCTACGTGAAAGGCACTGTATCCGAGTGCAAGTTGTTGTTGTACTGACAATAGGACACAGAAGGTGTAACCATCCTGGTCAAACATCCGTTGGGAGGAGAAATCGCTCCAGCTTACTTTCACTTGTAGAAAATACCAGATATTTAGAGCAAGTCAGTTAACCAGCTCCTGACATAGTAAAATTGCTTCACTGCATCACGACATAGGCTGGCAGCTCCAGTTGTTAACAGTTTTGATTATGTGACAAGTTAGAAAAATAACATTGTAAAATTGGAGTCCATTTCAGGTGGTAAGAGCTTGTGGATAGATTCCCAACCAAAGGATAATTTAATTACATCAATTATGTCATTTTTCTTACTGGATCTGGATTGCTTTTCACCCCCACTCAAAGGTAATATGCTGGTTTGTGAAATCACAGATATGTATTTTTTTCCCCCAAAAAAACTAGGTCAGGTCAGGCAACAAAGACTTCTAAGCAGTTAATCTTATTTATACGTTAGATTATTATGCAAACACAAAACCATTTCCTTGTAGAAATCCAGTTACAAGGTGTACTTTGTTTCAGAAAGTGTCAATAAAGTAGACTGAATCCTATTGACAGGCAAACCTTCTCCTATTGTTTCCTCCCATCCGCCCATTTGTCAGGTTTGTTAAAGATCCCACAGCACTATTTGAAAAGAGCACAGAGTTTCTCCTGGAGTCCTGACCATCAATGCCACACATAAAATTGATCATTCACCACATGTTGGTTAGTGGGATCTTGCAATATGCAAAATGGCTGCTGGGTTTGCATACAGAACCAATCACCGTACTTTGGCAGTAATTACTGTGAAGCACTTCTGAGATGCTTTGATGCAATGAGTTGGCATAAGAATACAAGTTATTCAAAGAAAATGTTGATGTTTTCTGAACGAGTGTAGACAGTCTTTATTTGACCAGATGTTATTAATCAGTTCATTGGTTCATAGCACATCTGGTGTCGTAGCATTTTACATTTTTTTAAAAAAGTGGTCATTTTGCCCATTAGGCCAGCTCTCTGAAAGAGCTCTCTCTTTAATGCTTCAGGTCCCCCGCACTTCCACCCTCAACACTAGTGGTTGTGCATTCAGCATCTCTGCCTCCACACTCTGGAACTCTATCCCGGAATCCATCCACCTCATCCCCTCCGCCTCAACCCATCTATTGCCTCCTTCAAGTCCCATCTAAAGACCTTCCTCTTCGACTGTGCCTTCGGCCAGCAACCCCCCCACCCTCCACCCCTTCTGACCCCATTTCCCAGCTCGGGTCCAAAAATTCCTGATTGTCCAGTGGGACGTCTTTGTGAAAGGTGTAATTTGTTAATTACAAGTGTAATTTGTTGTTGTTAATCTCATCCCCTGCATTTTTCCCAATATCCTTTATACACTCTGTAAAAACAATCGCCTCCTGACTTCTGAACCCGATTGCTCTCGAGAGAGGCAGCGTTCTTCTGAACTGTAAATTTCTATCCTAAACTGTTGTGAGTTTTTTTGGCAATGATCTTCACAACGGAAATGGATGCCCCAAATTCTGCAGTATTGGATGAGAGGGTAGAGGAAAAGGATCAGATTACTATAGAAAGAGAGTAAGTTCTGAGAAGATTGGCTGGGCTCAAAATTGATAAGTCACCAGGACAAGATTGGGTTTCACCCAAGGTTGCTGTGGGAGATACGGGTTCAAATAGCGGAGGCTTTGGCCATTATATTGCAATCTTCATTGGACACAGGAGTGCTGCCAAGAGACTGGAGAGTGGCTAATGTTACCCCTCTCTACAAAAAGGGGCAGAAAGACAAGCCCGGAAATTACAGGCCGGTCAGCCTCACTTCGGTAGTAGGAAAGCTACTGGAGACCAAAATCCGGGACAGAATAAATCTCTACTTAGAGGAACACGAGGTAATTAGAGACCCCCAACATGGATTTGTTAAAGGCAAATCTTGCCAAACAAATCTAATAGAATTTTTTGAAGAGGTGACTGCGAGGGTTGATGAGGGAAATGCCGTGGACGTTATTTACATGGATTTCAAAAAGGCTTTTGACACAGTACCGCATAAGAGATTAATAAAAAAATTGAGGCCCACGGTATTAAGGGGACAGTGGCAGTTTGGATTAGGAACTGGCTGAGTGACAGAAAGCAGAGGGTGGTGGTTAATGGGTGTTTCTCAAAATGGAAGGAGGTGTGCAGCGGTGTCCCCCAGGGATCGGTGGTTCTCAGTCAATGGTTCTCAGTCATTCAGTTGATCAACATCAGGTTTCTCACTGGCTTTCAAATCATTTTGGTGCTTTTTTTTTTCTTTCCATCCACTTCTTCCCCCCCACCAAGTAACCTGTGCAATCTCTTCCAGCCCTATTTTTCTGCTCTTAGCCGCTGTGATATGGTATTTGTCTTCTGCTCCCACGCACGGATTCTTTCCCCAAATCCTTTTGCTGTGCACTCTGTCGTCCTCTGTCTAACCCTCCAAACATGTATCTCTTTGCCCTTTGGTCAACATTTTCAACTCCCCATCCCTCCCTCTTACTCATCTGCACTGACTCTGTAAAGCAGTTTGAAAAATTGATCTTGTGCAAGTTGTTTTTTGGCAGACAATTAAGAAAAACGTTTGGTTCAATTAAAGTGGCAAATTTTCTTCAAGTTATGGTTAAGGGAAAAAGTACAGTGCATCTCTGCAGAAAGAAGGAGCAGCAGCAAAGTAAAAACAGGACTGGGGGAGGAGGTGGTGAATAATAACCTAATGGCTGAATGAAAATATTTTGAAAGATCCAGGAAACAAATGACTGGTTTCCAGCACTGAAACTGTATGATTATGCGTGCGTGCAGATGACTGTTATCTGGTGTTAGTGTTGCAAATGAGGAGTATAACCGGCTTTTCATCAATATTTTAAATGATCCTGGCGTGTTCTTGGCCAGTCTGCTGAGGGACCACTGAAGACATGTTGCAGGACCATTTCTGAGTGGAGACGGAATCAGTTCCGCTGCCAAAAGTCACTGTTCTCAAGACGGTCTCAGCAGGTGGGCTCCAGCACCATTCGCCTCTCAGATTCACACCACCAAACATTTTATAGTGTTTTTTGTTGGTAATTTTGCACAATTTTCACGGTTCACCAAAACACCTAAGTGAAACCCAATTGTCCCCAGTCCTGCTTTTGCTCGGCTGATGTTCCCCCTTCCCACACAGATGTCAATGTACTGTTTTGCCCATTTCCCATTTAAAATAGAGAGTATTAAGAGTCACAAAGTAACCAGTTTGAAGATACGTGAGAGGAGAGGTAAGAGGATGGCAGTGATTTGAACACGACCGGCTTCCCAGCTGAGTCTGATCCTGTCTGTCTTCATCCAAAGACAACAACAACAAATTAAATTTACACAGCGTCTTTCATATCGGGAGGACATTCTAAGGTGCTAGACAGTCAGGGATATGGACCTGAGATGGGGGTTGGAATCACATACAAATAAAATAAAAGTCAACACAAATACATGTTTCAACTGGGGTTACTCGGTATTCATTACAGCAGATTTACAAGGAGTTTGGCAGATTTTCCTTTCCCTAGTCGAGAGGAGTTGAGACCAATTTGTGTGCTTCTTACAGCACCTTAGCCATCATCAGCAAAGTCAGTCTAGAACAGGAATCAAATCTCAGTTGCTTAGCTTAGTTTCATTGCACAGCAAATTGGAGCGCTCTTAACTACAGTAATATGCTTTAAGAATTTGGCATAGATGCAGCCATCTGGGACACCACGTTTCCTGATCGCAAAAAAACCGTCTGTCCTCTTAACTTGTCTCATTTGGTAGGAACTCACTGCAGTTGCAGACTGCTGAACTGTGCTCAGTGTGTTTCAGTAAAACTCGGCTGACCCCAGAGATACGAGTGCAGGACATTGCTAGCTCAAGTCAGCTGCCTTTTGCCTCAATAACCTTCACTATGTTTCCAATTAATCCAAGTCTGAAAAGAGTTTCATGATGTTTTTAACATGAAAGGTTTTATGCACATGTAAGTTGCTGAGGGAGGATTATAACCAGGGCTCATCACTTGCAGCTGCTGTAAGTACAGTACCACAGCAAAGCACACTGTAGCATTCCAAGCATACTCAAAGCTCAAACCCAACTGGATTCAAATTCCTTCCTCGGATTTTAGGCAAATCCAGGAAGTCCTTGGGTTGATCTCCAAAGAGATTTAATTGCAACAGTGAAAAAAGCCTTCACAAATAATATCAGGTCGTTCAGTTTGTGCTGTACACACCCATGTATACCAGCAGGTCTGGTTCTTGCTGCACAATGTGGGGAGTGGGAGAGGAGGGAGCCTCAGGGGAGAGGGAGGAGAAAAGATTTGATGGCAGAATTTCAAAGTACAGTATATGAAGGTAAAGGAACAGGGTTTGGGCAGCTTTTGGTTCAGCTGCGTAAGAGTTGAATAAAATTTGAAACATTTTAAATCGAAGTTTTTCTGATCAGACTGACGCTGTTCGTTGTTTGTGCACATTGTTGATGTTCGTGTAAAGTTGTTGTTGCTTTCCCAGCGAAATCAAAGAAACATGAATTTCTTTTACATGTTATTCTGTCTGTGAAAAAATGCTTTATTATGCTACGAACTTCAGTTATTTTTGTACTTCCTTGCTGGTGTCTCAGGAATTTATGAATTATTTCTTCAGTGAGAGTTGGTAGCATTTTGCCTCCTGTTTAGAGATTGTGGGTTCAAGCCCCACATTGGGACTGTAGCTCTTAGTCTCGGCTGTCACTTCAGTGCAGTGCAGGGGGATCGGCATATTAGAGGGTGCAGGTGAGATGTTAAACTGCTTGTTCATGTGGATGTTGAAGATCCTGTGATGCTATTAATCCAGCTGTCCACCTCATTAATTGGTCATTTATCTGATGCCACAAATGATGTCCTCTCTATCTGTGACCAGGGCTCCCTCTAGTCTCCTTGACCTCCTGGACCCCTCCGCTGTGTTCGACACAGTCGATCATGCCATCCTCCTCAACCGCCTCTCCATCATCCACCTCGGTGGGACCGCACTCACTTGGTTCGAGTCCTACCTTACAAACCGTGGTTAACTTCCACATGTATGGGATGACACTCAACTCTACTTCTCCTCCTCCACCTGCGACCCCCAGTCAGCTTGTCTATTGGACATCAAGCCTGGTTGAGCGCAAATTTCTTGCAGTTAAACATCAACAAGACGGAAGCCATACTCTTTGGCACCTATCAACATCTTCTGTGATCTGTCCTTAAAACTCTCTGAACCCGTGCACAACTTAGGGTTAGGTTCAATCCCCAGTTATCATTCCTCCCTCACATCCGGTCCCTGATCAGCACCGCTTTCCTCCACCTCTGCCACATTGCCCATCTCCGACAATACCTCACTCCACCAGCTCCCAAAACGCTTGTCCACGCCTTTGTCACCCTCAGCTGGACTACTCAAAACGTCCTCCTCGCCGGTCTCCCCTCCTCCACTCTTCACAAAATTCAACTCATCCAAGCCTCTGCCACCTGCATTCTCACCTGCACTAAACTCCGCAGCCCGATTACTCCAGCCCTTGCCAAACTCCACTGGCTCCCTGCAACAGAGCAGATCGACTGCAAGATCCTCACTCTAGTGTTTAAACCTGTCCACGCCTTGGCAACCCCCTACCTCTCTAACCTCTCTCCTCACAGCACTACCCGCTGCCTCCGCTCTACTGGCTCCGGTCTCCTCCTTGTCCCTCGAATCCTCTACTCCACCATCGACGGCTGGGCCTTCAGCCACTACACCCCAAAGCTATGGAACTCCCTCACTCAATCCCTTCGCCTTGCCCCCTGTTTCCCCATTTTCAGGTTGCGCCTGAAGACCACCCTCTTTGACCGTGCCAATGGTCACCTTCCAGCTCCCTTGGTGCAGCACAGGACTCCGCCACTTTAACCACTCTGGGTCGCTGCCCGGGGTGGAGGGTGCCATATAAATCTAAGTTGTTGTTGCCAATTTGTGGGACCTTGCTGTGCAGATGTCTACCACGTTTGCCTACATAAAAGATTGCTCTATTTGCTTGCAAAGTGCTTTACAAGATATTTTAACGTGGTCATTCTAACAATGTAACGTTAGATAACATTGAAACCGAGGTTTATGCCCAACTTAATGCATTTGTGTCTGCTATTGCCTCTGAGTGTCAATCACACCAATAGCAAGAATCCCAGACCAGTCCTGAGCAGGTGGTAGCAGATTAGTCACCCAAAATTTGTTTGGGAAAAACTATGTTTTCAACTTCAATTTTTTAATTCAAATCACATACAAGATTTGAAAGGGTTACATGAATTACGGTGCCTCAGTTCCTCTCATTTAAGGATGGTGACTGAACACTGTAATTTCCTGCACATAAATTATGATGCGGGCTGTTCCCAAAGCTGGAAATCACTGAAGCTCGAACTTGAATTTTGTTTGCACCTGTCCCTTCCTTTACTGAGCTGAAGCCATGTATGTTAGATGTGGTGATATGTTACTTTCTGACAAACAGCCTGGTCTTTGTGCTTGTGCATGTATGCTCATGCCCACGTGTAAGTAAGCAAGTAACACAAAGACTAGACTTTATATTAGAAGTTAACATATCACTGGTAGGGTTTCTGTTCATTTCAGTATCCATTTCTTTCAGGGAGTTGCCTGGTATGCGGTTTATGACACTCAGGCACTTAATTAAATTATTTTGCCACACTTTGCAGATACTGTGCAATGAGCAGAGTTTTATTACTATTATTATACAGTACCTGTTATTTTATAACTCCTTAGTTGTGTAGACTGGACTCCTATTTTAAACTGAGACAATGGCATTCTATTGAAATATTGAATACAGACATTTCATTAAATAAAAAAAACTCTTAACTACAAACCTGTTGTTGATTTACAAAAAGCTTTACATTCGTTGATTTACAACAGGCCCTTTTTATCACAGAATAGCTATTACTCTGTCAGACATTATTGAATGTGTTGGTGCTTGAATTAGATGGACATTTGTCCCCTCTCTACAGAAACATGGAGAGCATCATTCGGCTGAATGACGTGCTTTCAGACCCCCCCTGAAAGATGCTATGTATATTGTTGTTTTGGAATAGAAAATGTACAGGGAAAAATCATTTTTTTACAGGAAGCTTTCCTGCTATTCCTTAATGGGCCCAAACACCACATAGAAGACTAATGTTGCCCAGAATGAGTTGCTTATTGAAATAGACCCCCTTTGAGTTACGTAATGCAGTATATATAACACACAATGATTTCATTGTCAGCGATACCCAGTAATCTGCAAAGCAAACTGTTTGCCAATAATTGGGTAATGTATGACAATTGCAGTGGCATTAATAGCTTGTAGGGTACCAGCTTTTGTATCTCACTCGGGAGATTCTATAACATTGTGATCTATAGCACATGCTTGGCTATCATTCTCCTGCTTCAATCTTATTTCTGCCGGCTTGTTTAAAGTATACAAACAGGCATTTTTAGCACAGAAAGAAGCCTTGAGGCCCATTGTACCTGCCACAGTTACCTACTTTTAAATTACCCTTTTTACTCATCCCACTTTGCTATCCTCCTTCGGTGGAGGTAAGCAGCAAGTGTAAAGTAAGCTAGCTTCAAGGTGGTGTACTTGGAAACAGAATGTTGGAATTAAGGCAACCTCTGTGGTGGACTTGCTAGTTTGGTTCCTGAACTAGAGTATTCCAGGGAATTGCTGATGACAGAGCTGGTTGGCAGGACTTGGAGGGGCAGACGGGTCAATGGGAGCACGTATTATTCCTACTCAACTTCTGGTAACGCTGCAAGCCAAAGCCCTAATGGGTAGGGTGGTCCTAGCTGAACAAGCAGTGGGAAAGTTTGCCTGACAGTATTATCGATGATCAGCTATGCGGTTTAGCTGGTTAAACTTAAACGGTTACTGCAACGCACACTCTGGGTTCCCCAAGCCTTGGCTCTGGCCAACCTGCGCCTAATACTCTCTGTAGTTAGGTAAGCAGTGTGCATCCCTCCAGGTAGTTTCCATTCTAAACACAGGGAAATCTCCATGTGATTGTGGCATTCATATGTATAAGCTCTTGTTTTGGTTTGTACACTCTTAATCCCACTGAAAATAGTATACACCCTTTTTCCCCAAATCTCTCTATTTGTATTTCTCAGGTGCTTTCTAGTTTAATTTTGAATCATTCTATTTCTACTAAACCTTATCTATTTAATTCCAAATGCTGTTGTTCACTCTGTAGAATCTCAAATGCAAGACCTGCCCTGCCCTGGCTTACTCCACAGATGCTAACAGAAAACACAAACTATAAGTAATTCAACAGAAGGATGAAAATATTGTTGGAACCAGAATAATCTTGAGTTTTTTTTAAAAAATTGGAATGCTTCCAGTGATCTCTCCTCCCCCAAACTCAAATATGAACTCATGTTTCTGCATTGTGTCCTAATCAAAATGTTTAAATTTGATCTCCAGGGTTTCTTCCGAAGAACCATTCGCATGAAGTTGGAGTATGAGAAATGTGAGCGGAACTGTAAGATCCAGAAAAAGAATCGGAACAAGTGCCAGTATTGTCGATTCCAGAAGTGCCTGGCTTTAGGAATGTCCCACAATGGTCAGTAAAGCTCGCCCATACACAACGATGGGAATTTTAGATGATGGGTTAACATACATACAAATTGTAAAAGGTTTAGTTAAACAGTGTGCTGTTAACTATTTATATTTTAGTGGTTCATTTGGTAGCACTCTTGCCTCCGAGTCAGAAAATTATGGGTTCAAGCCCCATGATGGGACTTTGAGCTCATACTATTTCTACTAAACTCTTTCTGTTGAATTCCAAATATTGTTGTTCATTCAGTAGAATTTCAAACGCAAGACACCAGGCTGACACTCCAGTGCAAGTGAAAGATAATTGCATGACTGTTACCAACACTGAATACTATAACAATACTAATCCTTACATTTCATATAGCACCTTATCATGTCATTGAGATGTCTCAAAGCAATATACAAAGCGATATCTTCACAGGATATGCTGTGCAGTGAATTGATTGTGTATTTTGTGGGCGAAATGCTTCAATCTGAAGCTGAATACTGAATGTTCTCAACTCATGCCACCGCCCAACTTTGTGCTGTAACCTACTGCAGCTGAACCTCAGATCCCTGGGAATTGCTGAAAGCAGATCTGTCATAAACCATCGTCTTAAAACGCTTTCGGTTTTGTTTTACGTACATGAGAGACACAAACTGAACGCTTTCTCTCTCTCTTCCGAATGACAGCTATCCGTTTTGGTCGAATGCCAGAAGCAGAGAAGAAGAAGCTGGTTGCTGGACTGCTAGCCGGTGAAGCTACAACGGTTCAGAACCCACAAATAGCTGATCTGAAATCATTGGCAAAGCACGTCTATGATGCATATCTGAAAAACTTCAACATGACTAAAAAAAAAGCACGAGATATTCTAAGTGGAAAAGCAACCAAGGACCCGGTAAGTAAAAGTGTGGTGGTGGTGGGAGGGGAGGAAGGGGCCTTGTGGTCCATGGCCTGAATACTGCAGCTCATCATGTCCTAAAGACACAAACCAAATAGTTTACTCCCCAACTGTACATATAAATTGTGAATGTGGAAGGAAGCTCTGAATACACATATCCATGTATATAAAGAGCACTTTAATGTAAACAAACCTGCCGGCTTGATAAGAGACATCATTTTGGATCTTTCTTGAATGAGCCTATCAGACTGTAATGCCCCTTCCCAACAATGTATTTTCAGTTGTCAATGTTTGGACATGAGTGAACTGAATGTCAATAAACTAACTCACTGGAGAATGTGTTGGAAGTGAATAAGTAGCTTTAAATATGTACGTTGAGGAGAGAGTGAGTCAGGATCCAACACATGTCTAAGACATGGACAAGATGAGTCTAAGATCGAAACATGGCGCAAACACATGGTGCCCACTGGCCAATATGGAACCTATGACATCCTGCAACTGTCCAACGCAGAAGGGTAATAAAGTAGAAGAGTGGGTAAAATGCTGCTTCTTGTAAACTAAAGTTTTTATCCCAAACCAGAAAGAAACATCAAAAACTAATAAAGAATCAGAAACGAGCTTGGGATTGTAGGAGAGGTAATAGGGGATTGATTCCAGATTCCCAGGTCCATAGCACTTGTAAAATACTCCTAGATATCACCCTACGTGAAAGGTGCTATGTAAATCATATAAAGTTTATTGTTTGTTGTTGAAATTCCACATGGATCTAGATTTAGAATGTTCTTAGCACTTCAGAAGGTGCCCATTTTGGACAATTAAATTTTGAAGCCAGTTTGCTATAATTCTTAAAAGACCAATACATTTAGGGTTAAGATTTGTCCATAATTTGCACGTTTTAAAATACTAAGAAAGTCTAGACATGAGTGGAATTTCTACGCCCAGTCTGTAACATTACATTACACATATAATGTAATGTTTATGTTGAGGTCAGGAGCTGCAGGGTGACTGTGTAACATTCGTGCCTCCCATCTCAGTTTAGCTTGGAAGAGACACGGGGCTTGAGTGAACAGAACTGGCTGGGCAAAACCACCTCCTCCCCAGCCCATAACAAACACTAGTCATTGCCCTCACTCAGTTCATTCACTTTACACCTTACTGCAGCAAAATAGGCATATTATTGTTAACATTAGTTTATTAGTTACTCGCTTGCAACCAAAGGATCCAATATAGAATATAGATTGACACACAGACAGATACACAGATATTTCACCTATCTATACTCATCTGGGAGGACTCCTGTTGACGGACTCCTTTTAGGTCGGTGCGACCACCAGGTGTGCATACATACGTGCTTTGTGATGCTGGATGCCACAGCACCATAGTCAGCCGGTGCAGCCACCAGGTGTAACTGAAGTGTGTGCGTACATACGTAGATGCTCTGTGACACATGATGGTGTAACTGCAAAATTGAAAATAACTCATGAACGATAGGAGATACCTGAAAACAAATATGCCCAGGTCACTCCCAGATGTAAGACCTTTCCAATGAGGTATGAATCATATCTTTACATTAATTGGTTATTGAGATCCTTCTGGGAGCGTAGACTGACGTTGTTGTTTTATTAGTATATAATAGATTCCATAACACAAACTGTCGCATTCCCATTTTCACCATATTCGATGATTCGTTTCGAGAAGTTAATTCTCGTAATTCTACCATTTGTGATGTTTTGCACCGTTTGGGCTTGGTTTACTGAAACAGCTGTTGTACTCCTCCTCACCTGCCAACTGATGACATTTAAGGTTATTACTAGAAGTGTAAAAAGGGGAGTTCTGGAGAACAACATTCTTTCAGAGGGTTGTCAGTGTGCGGAGTGGGGGGGGGGGGGTGTCAGAGCAGAGTTGATTGGGACGTGTAAAGGGTAATTAGACTGACGCATGCAGAGGAAGGGCGTTCAGAGGTTTATGGAAAGAGATGGGAACTGGGATTAGAATTAGGGAATTATTATGATTATTATTATTATCCCAATGAGTTTTGAGAGCACTGCCTTTCTGTATTATTTACAATGTAAGTTGGAGACATCTGGTGGCTGTAGAAGGTACTGAGTCAAATTTTACCAAATCACTGCTTCAAAGGAGATCTGAAGATAGAATGATTTACACCACAGAGTGAGACAATTCAGCCCTTTGAGTCTGCATCGCCTCTCAGAGCAAAGTATCAATTCAAATCACCCTTCACGAGAATGGGTCTCTGTTTTTATAATTCTGTACTTTGTGTTTTGGTGATTCCTTAGCAAGTAACCTCTTTTATTTGTGTTGAGGCAAAAGGATGTTTCAGGTATTCAATTACTGAAACGAAGCAACGTCACTTGCAACGGAGATGATTTTGATTAGATTTTGAGAATGTTTTGATTTGTAAAGTATTGTTCACTGTAATATTTGGGGTAAAAACTTCAAAATGTAATATGCGCTTCTAATGAAGCGGCATATCCAAAACATAGCATTTCGCTCTTTCAAATGCTATAGATTTCCAGTATTTGGGATGCACAGATTTCTAGCAGTTGCACTTTCTTTTAATTTAATTTATTTTTATATCTTGGAACTAATATAACTTAGTTCCAGGGTGAAAGTCAGTTCCATCCACTAATGCACTCTCCTCTGCCCCGGATGCAGCCCTTTGTTATTCACGACATGGAGACGCTCTGGCAGGCCGAGAAGAACCTGGTTTGGAAACAGTCGGTGAACGGGATCCCCAACAAGGATATCGAGGTGCACGTCTTCCATCGCTGCCAGTGCACCACAGTGGAGACTGTGCGGGAACTGACGGAATTTGCCAAGTGCATCCCCGAATTTCTGAACCTCTACCTGAATGATCAGGTGACTTTACTGAAATATGGTGTCCATGAAGCCATTTTTGCCATGTTGGCATCAATTATGAATAAGGATGGTCTTTTGGTGGCCAATGGCAATGGATTTGTGACACGCGAATTTCTGAGGAGCCTACGTAAGCCGTTCAGTGAAATTATGGAACCTAAGTTTGAATTTGCTGTGAAATTCAATGCCCTGGAGCTGGATGATAGCGACCTGGCTCTTTTTGTGGCTGCGATCATTTTGTGTGGAGGTAAGGAACCATTTTCCTCTCTCAGTGCATTGGCTCGCTTCATGTTGACATCTGTTTGAAACCACTTTATGGTTCATTTTGCAAACAATCAATGACTTGCATTTATATAGCAGCCTTCACGTGGGACAGCGGGGTCCAACTGGCGGCCCGTGGGCCACATCCGGCCCGGCGGGTGATTTCATCTGGCCCGAGAGTATTTTTAACATTCCAACTTCGGCTCCCTCTGTCCCTGGTGCATGTCCCTCCCAGGGCAGAGACAAGAACGGCAGATGGGAGACGCAGCGCAGAGAGTGGAAATAATACCGGCCGTTACTGCAGTCTGTCAGGAAGGCAAGCGCGTCTCTTACCAACCGTGTCCTTAGCAATGGCCGGCTCCTGTCACTGCAAATAGTGAACCACGTGTCAGACTGGGAGAGAAAGAGATAGGAGTGGAGAGAGGGGCTTGAAGTGAGAGAGGGAGGGGTGGGGAGGCAGAGAGGAGGGGTGGGGAGAGGAGGAGGGGGGAGAGGAAGAGGAGAGGGGGGGAGAAAGGGGAGGGGAGAGAGAGGGGAGGGGGAGAGAGAGGGGAGCGTGTGTGTGAGAGACATGAGAAAGGAGGAGTCAGAGAGATTGTGTGATAGAAGGGGAGAGAGAGAGAGGACGGGGAAAACAAGTAATTGACAGAGCGGGAGATAGAGAGAGGGTGTGTGAGCGGGGGGGAGTGTGTATGTGAGAGGTGAGATTGTGTGCGAGAGAGAATGTGAGGAGGGAGATGGGAAGAGAAAGAAACAGCAGAACACAGTGAGAGGGTGAGAGAGCAGAGAGTATGAGAGGGGATACAGAGAGTGTGTGCGCGAGAAGGGAGTAAGAGAGAGTAATTGAGAGAAGGAGAGAGTGTATGAGAGAGAGGAAGAAAGGGGGGTTGAGAGTGATGGGTGGTGCAATTGGAGACGAGAGAGTGTTAGAGGGAAGAGAGGATGAGAGTTTGCGAAAGAGCACATAAGAGAGAGGGTAGAGAGAGAGAGCGTGAGAGGAGGGAGAGATAGAAACAAAAAAAGAGTGAGCGAGCAGAGAGAGAGGTGCCCAGCCAGCAATGTCGAGTGCTTTGAGATGTCCTTCAAACATGAAAAAAAGGTGCTGTGTAAATGTAGTTATGTTTCTGGAAGGGAAACACAAAATATTGCTTAGGCGGCCCGTGGACCTTTCTCAAATAGGAACAGCAAATGCGGCAGCCAAACAATATTATCCTGACATCTGGAGGCTGTAGAGCCTCAGTTAGAGATTAGAGACTTAGTGGCTGATCAAAACTGAAGTTACATGTTTTTTTCTCTCAGTTTACTGGGATAAAACAGAGAACCATACAAATTTATAGTACAGAAGAAAGGCATTTGAACCATTGTGTCTGTGCTGGCTCTTTTAAAGACCAGTTGATCCTGTCCTATTTGCCTGCGTTTTCCCCGTATAGTTTAAAATATGATAAGCTTTCTTTTTTTTGCTTACATCTAGATTCTTTTTCCTGATTTAATTTTTTTTTAAATCAATTTGGCTGCAGTTTCCTTAGGAAATGCAATACGGATTTACATTTATATGATACCTTCAAGTCGGGAGGACAACCCAAGGCCAAGGGTTTGAGGGGCGGGGGTGTGTGTGGGGTGGGTGGGGGAGATGGTTGAAAGCACAGTCAAAGAGGAAGACGCTCTTGAGGGGACTGGAAGGGGCGAGTTGAAGGGACTCCAGGATGGAGATGCAGCGAGAGGGGGCTTGTAGGCTGAAAGCCTGACCGCACTTGTGAATCAGCAGTGCTTGGAAAGCTCTGCCTTGCGATTTCTTGCATTAATTGTTTAGTTTTTTTTAATAATCCAGAGCATCAGAAAAGCATGAGCTGATTTCAGTTCTCACATTTTATGATTTGAAATAATAATCCTTACATTTTGGTATAATGCCTTTCATGTCAGGAGGACATCCTAAAAGCTTTCACAGGATAGACTGGTATATGGTGTTACTGTGTGTTAAGTGAGTGAACAAGCCAACCAAATTAACCCCAATATGATCATTGGGTGGATTATTAAACACCAAAGAAGATGTACAGGTGTGGTGAGATAAACATTTTATTGTATCTGAGGGGAACTGAGTTCCTAAGGGAAGGTTAGGAATCTAATCTTTGTGAGCCTGTCCTCAGATATTTCCTGACTCTGGTATCATCAATTTATCAACATTTCGAGCAACGAGTTAAAATGAAAACAGCTGAAATTCAAATTGCAACACGACCATTTCGTGTTCAACAATTTTATCAACGTATATGCATCTTAATTGCCCACAAGACATCTTTAAGATCCATAGATAGACAGTATTTACCACCTGTGGAGTCCTGTAGCTTGTGCTTAGACCACTCGCCTCGCAAGAATTCGATTCCCGGGAAGGGTGAAACGTTGGGCGAGTTTTTTTTACTCCACACACCACTGCTTACTGTAGAACCGTGTAACGTAGAACACATTCTGCTTGAGCACCACGAGTAAATCTCAGAGTAGCACACAACCAGCAATTTCTAACCTGCATTTGAATTACATGACCTGCAATCGAAGAGGGGAAATTCAAAACAAATCTGTGGAAACACTATTTCAATAAGCGACTAGTAAGTAGGAATTCAGTTGTTAGTTATTATTATTACCTATTTCTCCACCCTGACCAAAGTGCTTTTGCTTATAGTTTGGCTGTGGTTGTAGCACAGTGCAGGTTTATATATAATAATAATAATCCTTGTATTTGATACAGCACCTTATCACGTCTTCAAGATGTCTCAAAGCGCTTGACAGAATACACTATGAAGTGACTTGACTGTATATATTGTGGGCAAAATGCGGCAGCCAAATGTTTAGTTCCATTTCCCTCTTCCCTACTCTGGATTCAATTGAACGCTTACGATTGGGAAACTTGAGGAATGTGAAAACAAAAGCCAGAATCTCACATAGAACGCATTCTGCTTGAGCACCACGAGTAAATCTCGGAGCAGCACACAACCAGGAATTTGTAACCTGCATTTGAACTATGTGATCTGCAATTGAAGAGGGGAAATTCAAAATAAATCTGTGGAAACACTATTTCAATAAGCGACTAATAAATAATAATAATAATAATAATCCTTGCATTTTTGATAGCGCCTTATTATGTCTTTGAGATATAAATGTACGGAACAGGCTCCCTAGGTGGATGCAGAAAGTGTTGATTCTTTCAAAAGCAATTTGGAGAGATTGCTTTTAGTAAATAATATCATGGGATACAGAATATAGTTTGGAACTTGACATGTGCATCAACTGCCAGGATGGGAAAGGTGAACTGGATGGGCCTTTGTCTTCTTTCGTCCAGCATTTGCTGTGCATAACTGCTGTGTGCAATTGGCTGCCGCGTTTCACCCACAAATATACAGTCAATTCACTTTACAGTCTATTCTGTGAAGCGCTTTGAGATGTCGAAGACGTGAAAAGCGCTAAATCAAATGCAAGGATTATTATCATTATTTCTTACATTCTTATGGTCAGACCTTAACTACTTTTACTTTCTTTTAGACCGTCCTGGTCTGATGGGGGTGAAGCAGATTGAAGAGATGCAGGACAGTATTCTCCAGGCCCTCAGCCTCCACTTGCAAAGCAACCATCCGGACTCACAATACCTCTTCCCAAAGCTCCTCCAGAAAATGGCTGACCTCCGACAGCTAGTGACTGAGCACGCTCAGCTGGTTCAGAAGATTAAGAAAACTGAAGCAGATACTTCTCTGCACCCTCTGCTGCAGGAAATCTACAAGGACATGTACTGAGCGACACAGAACCTTCACTGTGTGATGAAATCAGCGATGCAGTTCAAGCGCTTATCAAAATAGATCGACATAGAGATTTAATAGATTTCTTACAAAGCGCTCCTCCTGAATTGCCTACTCTGAACTGGCCGGTGATAAAGTCATAAGAGTAGAACATAACGAATAAGATTCAAGAAATCTCTCACATCTAGGACACATTAATGTATTGCAATAAATAAAAAAAAAGTGGTGTGATTTTTGATCTGGGTTGCGGTGGTGAAAGCTCTGCTTGGTGTATCATCCTCCGACTTGCAACCTTGGTCAGAAAGCATCTCCTAACAGTCCCAATGGTACTGTGTGTGCTGAGCCCAACAGTGTGCATCTGTTCTGCCAGTCTTAAATTCCGATTGAGGGTGTGTAAACGATTATCCGGGCTGCAGCAATAAATCTGCAAAGAATGTAGCTTATTCAATCCGTAATAGAAAATAGTTTCTTCTCAGAAGCACTTAGTTAAGAATGTGCATAAATTTAAAGGGCTGGATCCAAGGTTATTAGCTTAGAGATAGTGTAGATACATTGAAAGAATTCTTTGGGTGAAATTGGATGGAGTATTTGATGAATTATTATTATTATGGATTATTCATTATTTTTGATTGAAAAGTTTTAAATATCACTCTGAATTTCACCCATGTTGCTTTGAATCTCTTGCTTCTGAGGCTGATGTTTGTGGCAGCTTATCCTTATCTACAAGATGAGTTCCATCAGATCTTCCCTACACGTCTCTTGAAGTGCAGCAATGGGAAGACCTGGTCTTTGCTCACCTTGATTCAATGCCTGTAGTTGACTGTCAGTACTCTGTCTCAGACCTTCAATAGGAGCATTCTTAACTCTCTCGCAATTAAATACAGCCAGAAGTCCCTTTGTAATCCATATTTCCCACCTTAGTGAAGGGCTTTTAATAAAAATCTCTATTTACGTTGTGAAGACATTTTGAAATAAACAATGGAACCGAGGTCACAAATCTGTGTGTTTTCCAGACCCGGTGCAAATGTGAAGCTGTGGTTAATCTACAAACGCTCAGTGTTTGTTTGTTTGTCATGTATTGTGCTAGATCAGGGTCAGGTTTGATCATTGTCAGCTGCTGCCCCAGTATTCAACTTCCAGTGAAGCTCCAAGTATTATTCCTAGTTCTGGCTGGCACTTTGGGTTAGTCTAAACTGCCAAAGGCAGAGTTGGAAAGCTGAACTGTGCCTAAGATTTTCATTCAGAATAGTGTAACAGGGTTTCTTCATCCTGTCAGACATTTCATTAAAACCTATATTTCTTTGCTGGTTTTGCCTGTGTTTTTCCCATGTGCTTAGAGAGGGAAAACACACCAGAGAAAATATGGGAACAATAACAGTCTTGCCTGATTTGGTTCAATTGTAGTGAAATCTGATAGTCACATCTGTTTGAGATTAACCACCTCTTTAATTCTCAATTGCCACATCTGCAAAAAACATGTGCTTTACAAATTGCTAATTTGGCAATGCTTGAGATTCCTGTCTCTGGAGTCTGTATATGCCCTGTTGGTTCAGTTTCATGCACCTAATAATATGACTAAATGGGGCATAGAGGCACATTTTTCTCTCTTATGGTTTTCTTTCGTGCTCGGATATTTCCAGTTTTTCAGATCACCAGTTTTCCTCACCTCATTTTTTTCTGTTAAATGCAGGAATTCCTATTGCTGTAGGACATGTACATGCGACCCATTTATGAAGGAACGATTGTATAAATCTAGGTTCCCTTGCTAGTGCCTACCAATGACCATGCCAGACCAGGCATCTAGACTCAGAATATATCAGTATGAAACATAGGTATTGCTTTCGGACGACAGAGGGTTTCTCAGTGCAGAGTCCATACAGACCCAGTGTGAGTCCAGGATATTCTGTGCGTGATGTAGGCCTCTGCCTCAAGTAGGCGAGGATACGTTGTGAGTGGACTACTTACTGTAATTTCACAGGCTAACGTGCAGTATTCCAGTTATAATGTGTAGGTTTTGTTTAGCAGCTTTGTTCTGACTTGCTTGGAAGGCAGAGAAGTGACCTGCTGAATGGTGTTACTGGAATGACTGCCAGACAGGCCTCCGACACTTGTTATTAAGTGCAGATTGAGCAGGAACTGAGTAATTGGTCAGTGAAGGCAGAGAGCGAAAAATGTTAGCACCTGCGGAGAGGAGCTTACAGGTGACATTGGTCACCCTGTATCATGTTGCAGTGAGTCTGGACGTGTGTTCAGCGTCGAGATGCACATTTACGCCTTGTGGTTCTGTGACTTTCTTAGGGAGTGTACGGAGAAAAATGCAATGTGGAACAGTGACTTAGTGATTGATTTCTCAGATCAAGGCTGGTTAGTTTTATTCAATGATGGTTGATGACTTGACTGGGGGTATGAGTGTTGTAGGCACTGACTTGCATTGCTCTAACCACGATCTACAGGACTCCAAAAGTGGCAGAAATCAGTGCTGATTGCCTGTCTGTGCTGCCATTAGGAACACCGCTCAGGCTCCTGCCCAAGCCCCAGAGGTAGTTCAATGGAAAGCAACGAGGAATATATATTTTTTTTAATTGGAAAACTGTCTGCTTTTTCAGCTGGAAAATATTGTGCTGAATAAATTTTAAAATCACAGGAGCTGAGAAGGTGTCAGTGCGACATAAGTGAAATGGCCTGTGGCTGTGTATGACTGATGCTGAATTGCTGTTGATGCACTCCATTTGTGCCTAATTTTATGTGGCTTTGGTATCGTCACACATTTTAACTGTTACAAATACAAGGGTTTTTCTTTAATCTTGAGCGCGCTCACTGAACATCGTCCAGGCAATGAATGAATGAATGAGAGCATTAACAAATGACAGAGGAGAGGGTGGGGAGGAAAGAGTATTGAGAAACATGAAAAGTCTGAAACTGATTTATGCACTTTTTTGACTATTTGCTTCGGACTCTAAATCTGCACTAACAGTGTCCTTTAGTGCACGCAATCTCTGAATGCATTATCAGCTGTATTCGTATCTGAACTGACTGTTACACTCTTAACCAGAGATCTTCCACCATTCTGTCTATTATTTCTTTATGTGTAATGTGCCTGTTGCAATGATTGCAAAAGGGCTCCTGGGAAATGGATTTCAATTCTTAGTCTAACAGACTCTAATACTAATTTAAATATAGTGTCATTTGTTTTTCAACCAGATGGTTATAGCTTTTTTCGAATCATTTTATGTTAGTATTAGAGTATTTTGTCTGTGGGAGATGCAATAATTATGCTTTTTTTTAACTGTATCTGTTTTGCTAACTAACATTTTTTTCAGGCTATGGGTCCCCTGTTAAATTTCTCTCCCTTTTGTCATCTGTACATCCCTTATTCAGCTGATGTTTCTGTTAGTAAGATGCCTTCCTTTCATTATTTGTGTTATCCAGGGCTATGCACTACCTAACTTTGCACTGTTTGCACTGATAGTATTTTTGTACTAAAAGAGCTTGTTTAAAAAAAACTCCAGTGTAAGGATGTGTTTTATGTTGGTACTCAGAAATGTTAAAGCCAATTAACATTACTAGCCAGTGTAATCCCTCCCACCCGCATTGGTGGGCAATGAACTAAGAGGGCACCTCGCGATGAGTCTGATTCTTTCCCTCCCTCCCCTTTCTATAGCCTTGCTAGCAGCAGAATGTGCACTTGTGCTCCCTGTTCTTCAGAGAAAAGGGGACCAAACCATTTCCCTCTAACAGAGCAACTTGTTAGCTTTCTTGTGCCGTGAAGTATATGGTCAGTCACATACTATATGCGTACAGTTGGTTTGACCAGCCACTGAAACATGATGAAAAAGTATACCTCACCCTGGGTCATATATTAGAAATCCATCTCTTCCCCCAGCAACAATACAACAAACCACACTTGTGTAACGCCCTCCATGTCAGCAAGACATCCCAGCAGATGGGGGTGGGGGGAGATCAGGACAGACAAATTCAGGACAGAACCGCCCCACAATCTGAATGGTTGGTTTCTCAAGTTAAACTGAGGCCAGTAGGAGTCTATTCATCTTCATTATGCTCTTTTGTGGTATGACCTTTGGATATGATCGGGAGTAAAGTAGATGATAAACTATACTTGTCCCAAGGACAGAAAGCAATTCATTTGCACTTTCACCAGTTTGTTTTTAACCTGCCTGGACACGTGAATAGATGTGTTATTTCTCTCACTTTGTTCCCTGTACAGAACCTACAGGAATCTCAGATATAATTTTAGTAACAATTATTTTCCTACAAGAACTGTCTACTCAGGGCCTTAAAACACTGCACCATCTAAATAAAACATTTAATTCCATAATTCCTTTTTTTTTGTATTTTAACACTTCCTCGTTTACAGACTTGCTGTGACCCAGATTTCCATGTGGTTATGGGATGCATATTTATTCTGTGTTCAGGGCTTTGACTCAGATTTAGACTGTTAACTCCATAGGAAAGGATTCTATAACTGGAATAGAAGAACCACAACAAAATTACATTTGTATAGCACCTTTCACGTCAGGAGGATATCCCAAGGCGCTGGACAACCAGTGTTTCGGACCTGAGCTGGGGGTTGGCATCGGGGAGGAAGGAGGGCAAAAGGGTGATCGAAGGCACAGACTTGAGACGGGGCTTGAAAGAGGCGAGGCAGGGGGCGAAGAGGAGGAACTGCTGGATGGAGTTCCAGAGGGTGGGGGCAGAGTGGCTGAAGGCCCGTCTGCCAATGGTGAGGCGAGCAAGACGGTGAACGTGAAGCATGTCGGAGCCCTCTGAGTGGAGGGACCGGGCGAGTTGGAAGGGGTGGGGGGGGGGAAAGCAAGACCGTGGAGGGCTTTGAAGATGAAGATCAGGAACTTGAACTGTATCCTCTGTGTGATGGGAAGCCAGTGGAGTCGGGCGAGGATGGGGGTTGGCTTAAAACAAAAAGTAGGGTTGGCGCCTGAAACCACACAAAAGTGTTTCACTGGTCAATTCACGTTTTAGTTAATTATTTCTATGTCACAAGTTGCCATGGGCCTGGCTAACGTTTGTTATTCAT